TCTAGATCCAGAAGTACACTACATTCAATCTGGATATCGACAGCGTCAACATTGTGTGGTACACACGACTGTTAGCAGTTGCTCGGTCTAGAATTATGTAGAGTAGATGGAATACTTGATGAATCTTCCGCAACATCGCTCCGGTCCAGTAATATGTGGCCTTGCCGTCGTGAGGCGAGCGAGGCTTATAGTAGTCAGACAACGACGCGTCTAATAACCCGATAACCACGTCCTTTACGCGTCCATGGAACTTCTCTTCTCCGTCTCTAGTCAAAGCCACACACTACACCTACTCTTGGTTCGCGTTACGAATATCAACCACTCTTCGCCACAAAAGAAGCCCAAATGACCATCCACTGACAGAACTACCCTCGATCTCCGCACTGTCCTTACACATGATCCAACACCAAGTACGCAAAACCGTACACCTCCATCGGCATCGAATACCGAGAATCCTATCATTCCTGTTGCTCTTCTGTTTCCGAGTGTACCCATGCTGTTAGTTCCAAGCCTCATGCCCGTCGTCGTCTCGGAATGACATCATGTCGTCATTATTATAGTACTTGACTGACCGCTCATTCATGGTGAACCAAATTTTTTTGCTTCTTCTCATATGCTCTAATTCAAACGCTCCGAGACCAAACTAGTGCGATCGTGAGAGGTGTTAGAAACGGAACCGCGTTTCCCGCCCAATAAGAGAACGCGAACCTATGTTACTGAGCAGTTCCTTGTCATTTCTTGACCGCCTCGTCTCGCTCCAGCAAGCAAGTAAACGCCTCGCGCAATCAAGCGTGCAAGTGCTAAGTACTAGCCTTGAGATCGAACCAAACTGTTTACTACTGTGTGCGGAAGGAGAGCAGTGTATGGAAACGCGCCCAGCGGCCACCCTGCAGCCTGCTTTCGACCCCGTCGCACGTTATTGTGGCTTACATGTAAATGCGCCGCGCTGTGCGTAAGCGCCCATGCCATGCGCAATCATGGTCGATGCGGGGTATGCCTATCCCTGTCTCGTCCCTACACCACTACAACTTCCATCGCGATAATAACGCCCACGCCCACTTCTTTCCCAGCCCAAGACTCGGGTGTATTTTTGTTTGTTTGGTACACAGGTATCTGTAGATCACGATGCTTCACCACATCCCCCATGGATGAACCTAGACCGCTTGATGGCCTTGTTCGTTAAACTTGCCTCTTGTCTAGTTCCTCGCAAGAAAGAGAGAGAATGATGAACCTTGAAGTAACAAGAAGCTATATCCTTACACCTCCATTTTACAAACTTTTATTATCGTTCGCGCGATATGCGATCATGTTCGCATGCAAATCATGCATTCTGCAATCACCCGACAGAACACCCAGAGTCATGTTCCAAGCACCATGTCAAATACGCAACCAGTCCAAACCCTAAATCCTAGCCCCGCCACTCACACTATACCCTTACCATAGGAGGTATTGCGCGATGCAACAGCAAGCATACTCGTAGCTCGTTAGAACGCGCAAGATGGTGTCAGAGCCGTTCGCAGCGTTTGCGGTTTCTTGCTTGCGACAGGACTACCAAGACCGAGGCGGTGCATTCTCGGGAGTTGCGGGACCCTGCCTTTCGTGATGGACGATCTGTGATCGGCACTGTCTACTGGTCTGCGCCTTTTTTTTGACGTATGCAGTAGAGGGAAGGTGTATGGTTTTATGGTTTGCTGATCGCGACCCTGCGCTGATCGGTCGGACAAATTGCTCACATTGCACTACTTCGTACGAGAAGTTCAGAGTAAGAGCAAGAGCCAGTCGGATTAGCAATACGGCTTCTTGGTGAGATAAGGCTGGCTGCTTTGTAGTGAACTCGCCACAAGGTAAGCATGATCAACGCAAACATCCGAGAGGCTGATTTGATGGGATTGGATAGGCTACGCTGCGTCGCGTGTGAGACAAGAAACAACCTCGCGAGAAGCCAAATCAAGTCAGTCACCAACTAGCAACTGGAATGTATGTAACAGGTATATTGAACATGAAAATGAACAGGTTTGGTAGAGTCCAGTCAAGCATGCAGTCGGAGCGTCGGGCTTGGTAATGCAAATGTGGCCATAGGTTAGTGTATGAAACGATGAAACGCTCCTTTGAATAACGCGCTAGATCCTCAGTCTACGCCCGTTTCGAGCTCATTCTGAAGCTCGCGACGTTTGGTGTGGCACATCTTCTGTGGCCAACCGATCAATCACAGGGCGGGAGAGAGCGTCGTAGAGAACGCCGTGTGCGTGACTAGGCAACGTGATGGGCTCGGAACAAGTGTATCGGAGGCATCCTTGTAGACGATTGTTTTTGCGTCAAGAGGCAATATATCGCTCTGGCAGACATGTCTGACAATCGATAACATTCCCGACGCGCGTTGCGTTGCGTCGACACTCTTTGTATGTACAGCGCCGCATAGCCACGATATCCAACGTGACACTCGTGATGCATGGGAGGAAAGGGAGAAGAAGAAACTCAGTCGTTCATCCAAGCAGCCACACGGTTGCCGCCAAAACGTGCAGCGAACCGTAGACCAGTCGAGCCCATCGGGAAATACGAGACGATGTACCATAATAGACATACTAGTTGGGCAATAGCCGCAACAAAGGTGAGGATGGTACTGTGGAGCTAATCACGCGGACAACGTCAGTAAACATGAGCTAGTATGGAGACGATAATCGATAAGGGCTGGCGTGGGGGGGCAGGTGGATGTTCGTTTTCGGGCAGCCATGACATGTACAAGGGTTGACATGTGCGCAGGGATCATATGTACTGGGGTAAGAACTTGAACCTACACCTAGGGAAAAGAACAGTGTGAGAGCGATGCTCCCAAAGTAAGCAGCCGTGAACGGAAGCCTCGGACCAGAGGTGAGGTGCTGGACTTTGTGGGAGTGTCAGCAACGGTGATGATGGTGGTTGGCTTAGGAATGAGGCTTGCTTACGGTATTGAATAGGGCCCATCAGGACACCCCAAGCTGCCAAAAAGAGAACGCTTCCCATGGACCATCTGCAATCAGGCCATGGTTGTTAGCGCTAACGTCCTTCAGGTGATGTGCATACGACTTGGCAAGGTAGAGTCTGGACTAGACGTGAAGGCTGTCTGCACCCTGCAGCGCGCCGAACCTTGGACCCGCATGATCGCTACAAAGGGTCCAGTGCCGATCTCACGGTGGCTAGAGAGTCAAGCGACGCAATTCGTCCAGGTCAACGTCCGCAGTCGGTGAGCGGAAACATGCGATCCTTGGAGACATTGCAGATTGCATGAGTTCGCATAGCCGTGCCGAAGGACGCATACGGTATGTGCCAGTGCCTATCCGCCTTGTATGATCTCACCACTGGCGAGCAGGCTGCATGCAGGGCGTCCTTTTGACTGGATACGAGAGGCAACAGAGACAAGACGAGCTGAGAACTTACAAAATGGCAAACTTGCGTGGCCTGAGCAGGAAGACAGGCGTGAACATCAGGCCAATGCACGTAGCAAACATTGCCAAGGCAGCGAGCAGCAGGCCGCCAAATACGAGCAGCCGGTCCCACCGACTCACTGCAGGTAGTGGTTAGCGCAATGAGCATGAGTCAAGAAGGGAGGGAGAGGGCAGTGTGAAATGCGATGGTCCTGCATCCGAAGGTGGTAACGCAGGAACTCCCTTGCTGTCACATTGCCGGTCGTTGCGCGGCCGGATTGGTGCAAAGGCAGACGGAAGGGCAGATGACACGTTGATGAGAGGAATTATGGATATTCTCCACAACTAGACAGATGCTCATTTCAAGAATGCCATATGATGTCCATGGATGGAAGACAAAGAACCATGGCTGTGCGGTGAGACTAGTCTCAGAACGTCGTCGTCTGATGACATCACGCGCCACAGCTGGAGTGTTGTAGTGCGCGGGCATATAGTGTGCGGGGGGAGTGGACGTGCAAGGTGAAGGTGTTTTTCCGCGGCATGTAATGGAAGACGTAGACTTACGCGCAAACCACCCCTCTTCCTCCTCTCGCCGAGAGGGCGCTGGGAGAGGGGCGCCCGGGTTGGTCTCTGTTATGGGGAGTCTGACATAGCCACCCTCGCCGAAGGGATTCAGGTTCTGTATGCGGCCCAGGAATGAGGGCGGCGCCGTGTTGACGGGGGCGGGATCCTCTCTCCTACTCCAGCCGAGAGAGTTCATCGAGTCGCGGAACGAAGCGGAGGCCATGGTAAAGAATTAGGGTAAGGGTAACAGTGAAGACGTGAGGTGCGAGCTTCGAGCCTTGGAAGCCGCAGCAGGCGACACAAAGATATGCGGGTCCAGGTAGCTGCCGTCGACCCTTGTCTAGCAGAGATTCAGGATGTGGCTGGAAGGGAGGGCACAGCTGCCTAGTGTCGATAAGTGTCGAACAGGACACAGCAGCGGTTTGTTCGATTCGGTGCAACTGCAACTACTGCGACAACGGACCGGAGGATTTCGTGCAGATGATCTGCCTGCGGTGTAGGAACAGGCGTCTCAGATAGGACGACGGATGGGCGAGGCTTGTGACGAGGCCGCGAAGGGTGCGGTAGGTGCGATGGGCGACGCGAAAGGTGTAGCGGACGGTGCGATGGGCCGGGGGCAGCACCGTGAGGGCGCTGATTGGTCGAGGGGAACAGCAAGGAACTCTCCGGGTGCTGGGTAGAGAGGGTTGGGCTGGTCGGTCGTATACGGTGACAGTAGTAGACTCAGTTCACATCAGTCAAGGTCGGCCGTCGATTAGCGTCCTAGCGACTAGCGCGCGATCGTCTCCCGCTGCGACATGGCTAGTCGACGCTTTCAGGTAGACGCACACACACACACTCTCTCTCCCTCTCGGACACTTCGGCTAAGCCAGTCTAGCATGTCTCCCTAGACCTCGAGAATGAATGACGCTTGATACTGAGCCCGACTGTCCTTTAGTGAGTCACATTGCGCGCCCTCACCCAGCTTTGCTCCAAAACCGGGTAGCTGAGACATGATTAACTCGTCGTGACCAAAAGAGGCCACACCTTGCTCGCATGGTGGGCGCAGGACCGGGGTGGGCAACAGGCAGAGCCACACGCAGCGTAAGGCGGGTGAGCATGGCAAAAGAGCCGCCAGGTCAACTCGAGTGTATATTATGCTGCCGTGCCGCGTCCAATAATTCCTCTCCTGCCTAGTAGTCCCACCCACTGCATGTCCGTCAGCATCTTGTCCAGACGTGTCCGACTTCTCCATACAATATATCTGCGGACCACTGCGGGCCGAGCTTCCTCCACAGCCGCCATCGCTGCCTCTGTACGCCGCAGCACGTCATCCCTTGCTGTCTCTCCGAACCACATAGCTACCTCACTGCATCGCTAGCCGCGACTTGCTTTGCCGTACAGACGCCCCTTGCTGGCCTGCGATCCGCGGATAACAGGCTGATTCGCCATTGCCAATAGCTGCTTGGCGCAAGCGCTAGCAACACCATCCTCTCTGACCGCCTTCCGGCTTAGGGCCCTCCCACACCGACCAACTCGCTTCAGCTGCCCCGTCCTCGCTCTCAAGAGAGAGCCGCTGCAGCCAGCGGAATATCTTCAGCCTGTGCTGCATACAGGCGCGCAGACTACAAGCACTGCAGCCCGCCTACCACGCTTCCTGGTCCACGGCTCCCAGCCCACATCCCACCCTTGATCCCTCCCCGCCATATACCCCGACATCCATCTCCATATCCCACCTCCGGTATTTTACCCACCACCATCCACGCCAGTCGCACAAACGAGTCGCCTCCATCTATTCACTTCTCGACTCTCTGGACGACGACGACCCTTCGCCCCTCACCTCGACAAACAAGACAAACCCCTTGCTCGCCCCACACTGATACACCAACACTACGACTACCCTCAACCACCAAGTTTGCTGTCTCCTCACCGGAGTAGCTAGCCGTTCGAGCGACCTCACTCCATTTCTCCAGAGCCGAGAGACCGAGTGTTGCAGGTGTCATTGCCATTGCCATTGCGCCTTCCTCTCAATCGTGAGGTGAGTCAGCGCCCGGTTGCTCTTTCCTTTGCTGTTACCCTCTCTTCACCACCACTGCCACCACCACTCCTCGCTTCAGCCTGCATCGTCAACACCAGGTCTAGCCATACCGCGACCGTGTGCGACTGTTTCGCTGCTTTTGTCCTCTGTACCACCATCCCCACAGCGCCGGGCTGCAGCACGGCTGTCGTTCGCCGTCGCGCGCCTTGCGGGTTATCTACCTGTGCACTACTCTGATGCACCCACCCCTTCAACCGCTCAACACTTCAGACTGCTGGACTGTGCGCTGACACATCCTTTCAGTTCGACTACAGAACCGCAGCCACGAACACTGCCGCTCATAGCCGTAGCAGGTTCCAGACCGGTAAGCGATAATTCCCGCCATATTCCTGGAACGACGACTGTTGCATAAGAGCCATAGCGCTAACATCTTCTGCACAGACAAACAATAGCTCTCTGACCCAGATTAGAGGCTTGCTCGCACTGTCCTTGTGCTCATCAAATAGCAAGCATCTGCCAGGATCTTTAAAGGGACACAGAACGCCTCGTGCTGCAATCATCCTGCAAGCTTGCGAGTACATTCCTTAGTCACTTGCTTGGGCCGACGTCAGATCGTTTCAGATCTCACACTCGGCACCAGCATCGGCCCTCGGCCTCACATACCCACATTCCTGGAATACTGCAACCCACAGTAATGCCAAAGCCTAGTAAGTACGCCTTTGTGACATTCCCCGCTCTGCACTGTCATGAGAACGTCTGCCGAGTGAACCCAGATCTCCTATATCAACTTCTCCCCCCATACTTCCTCTTTCGTCATTTCAAGCGTCAATTTCTATCATGTACTACGAGACAATACTGACTGTCCCTCAAGCGGACGCTCTCTTCACTCCTCCCTCTTCCTACTCTCCTCAGAAGCCGATTGCAAGGCTGGACCTTGGCTTCGACTCTCCCTCTGACGACGTGCTAGACGCTGATATCTTCAACATGACTGGCACAGGATCACCTCAAACATACATTAAAGAAGAGGTCGACGAAATGTCGTTCAACAACCGCTTTTTGGGGCACAACGGCCTCGACATGAACCACCAATACGCTAACGCTCAGTTCTCTGGGCACGAAAACGCCAACGGCATCAACCCCTCCGAGCTCAACATGAGCGGGAGCATGATGGGTAACCACTTTGGTACCAACAGCTACACGCAAGGCGGAGCTGGTATTGCCGACGACGAGCTTGCTGAATCTCTGGGCACTTTCGACCAGCAACCAGGCTTCAACAACTTTGCACAGGAGCAGGTTGGCCAGCAAGACTACTATCACAACCACACCAACAACACAAGCATGAACCAGATCTATTCCAACACACCGGACGACCTACCCATTCACAGCCCCTTCAATCATCCTGGCAACTTTGACTTCAACCAGTACCAATCAGTACCCCAGAGGATGAACTTCCCTGGCAGCATGCCGAGTGGATCCATGCGTCAGCGAATCACCATGAGCCGGACTGGTAGTGACAGCCGCACTCCCATGTCACCCAAGACCCCTGCCATGGCCGGTCTCCACCTCGGCACTCCAGACTCTGGTAACTTTACTCAGCCAATCATGACCAACATGCATCGCCACCAGAAGAGCGTATCTGGCCAGTGGGATGGCACTCCTGGAAGTGCGCATTCATGGATCGACTCACCAACTGCGTCGCCCCATACTGGTGGTCTGCACCACCAACAGATCACCGATGTCTTGCATTCGGGCAAGCACAACTCACTCCCCGCCAAGGTCGACATTGGCCAGAACGCGGACGCAAAGAAGCGCCGACGTCGGGAGTCTCACAACTTGGTCGAGCGCCGACGACGCGACAATATCAATGAGCGTATTCACGACTTGTCCAGACTCGTACCCCAGCACCGTCTCGAGGACGAGAAGATCCGCAAGCACATCAACAACAATGGACCCTTGTCACCTACTATGGGAGCCAGCGGTATGTCGCCTCCACAAGCAACGTCACTTCTTGCTGGTGGCCAAGGAAGGCGGGCTGCTGGCAACATCACACAAGGACTGCCAATCGAGGAGAAGGACAAGGGACCAAACAAAGGAGACATTCTCAACGGCGCTGTCAGCTGGACTCGCGATCTCATGTGGATGCTGTCCAAGAAGATACAGGAGTGTGACGAGCTAGCTGCACGACTCCAACAAGCCACTGGCGAAGAGTGGGTCACTGAGCAGACGGAAGATGAGAAGCGCATGAAGACTGAAATCCTCGAGGCTCTTGAGAAGAATGGCTCTGGTACCTTCCGATACTCGCGAGGGCCAGGTTCCGGACTCCGAGTGCCCAAGCACACCAACTTGGCTGGTGAGCCTCTTAGCGGCGTATCTCCACAAAGCCTGAGTCCCGGCATGCAGAGCACTGGTAGCGGTTCTGGATCGAATCAGCCACAGTACTGGACCAGCCTGAAAGAAGAGGATGAGTACGGCATGGACATGGGCTGATCTGAAGCATGTCAGATAACCCAATTCTTCCGGTCTCCATATCTCTTTGTCGATTCCTTCACTATGATACCCCGCGATACCCCGCACCCGTTCCTGCATCTTGCTTGATGCATACGCTAGAGCTACATCAATGAGGCTAAAGGCGCCTCAGACCGGTGGACCATTCCTCGGTACATCATCGATCATCACCCTTGAGCCTGCTCTTCGCATACCGTCTCTGCTGGCCAAGGACGGATGAAGCTTTCGCTTGCATCAAGCACTTCCCATCTCGTTGCATAATATGTTCTACCCCTCCGTGGCACATCATCACCTTGGCTTCCGCTCATCATAACCCGAGCGTAGCCTATCCAACCGGAGCACAAAGGCCTTGGTCGCTCCGGTATTCGGCACGCACTCCGTACACAGCGGTCTCACCTGTCACAATAGCTATGGCCACACCTTTCTGGCAGCTCTGACGACTCGCTCACTTTTCTCATTTAGTCTTGTCTCATTTCGCATGCAAGTGGCGTTGTTTTATCTGTAGCTTTCGCACCTCATCACCCTTGCGCTTTTTTAGTCACAATTTTTTGGTTACAGGAAGGTACCTCGTTAGCATGGTCGGCGCGTTTTCGGATTGTTGGCGTTCTATGGTGTGGGGAATTGTGTTGCGGGAGGAGAGTAGGAGAATGATGGACATGCAGAAGACGTTCGGATAATGCTGGCTATGGATATGATGGGGCCTGTGGAGATTTCTTGTTACTTGTCGTTCTGTTACCTAGCTTATGGGCGCGTTATAGGTTGGTTGGTTCCAGCTTCAATTTCATCTCACATGTTTAAATATGGCTTTTTTGACTTGTTCAAATGAAGTGAAACTGGTCGAGCTGCCGCAGTTTGCCTTGTTCAGCACACTAAAGCCAAGTCTTCTTTCTGCCAGACTAGAGCTTCACAACGCCCATGATCTGCAACAATATAAGCAAAGTGCCATTGACGTTGGCCCGCCGCTCATACGAGAACACAAACCGTGCTCATTGGACTACTCTTGTCTCCCAAGCCGCGGGCATCAACGCCACATTCAGCATAGAGGATTAGCGCTAGATCTTGTACAACGACGACGCTCGCTGCTAGTCCAGAAATAAGCAAAGGAAAAGGTCAAGTCACACCCGCATATTGCGCCATCTTTTCAACGGCGGCTTGCTTGCTTGCCGCGGAATGGGGCTGATGGTGGAGGGGGAGGGGTGGAGGGAGGGGCACAAGGGGTAAAAGCAACTTTCATAGTAGACATGTACATATCCGAGCGAGGAGCTAACTTTCCGACGAAGGATTACGCCTTGTTGTGAGACCGGACTAGAGTGCTCGGTTATCTCGGGTGGTGGGGGAAGGAGGAGGAGGAGGAGGGAAGGAAATAAAGATGTAGATTGTGAGTGGATGGATGGTTAGGAGGGTATGGGGAAATGGTGATATGGTAACATGGGGAAGTTGGAATGGCTGGGTTGTTATGCATGCATGTAGGCTGTGGGATGACTGTAAGAAAGAAAGAACAAGGGAAAGGAGAGATGGAGATGGCAATGTAAGTTGGTGTTGGGATGAGTTGAATTGAATTGAGAGTTGTTTGTTTGTTATCGCTTGCTTGTCGCGGGTAACTGGTAAATTGAGCAGTGTCGTAGAGTTCCCGTCATCCTCCTTTTTTTCTTCTTTGACATAGCCGCAAAAAAAGAAAACAAAAAACCCCTAGTATGGACTACAACGATTTTCTCAATAACCTTCTTTGTCCAGCGGTAATACGGTTACCTGCATATTTTCCCACCCCACAGTCTGCCAGCTGATTGATTGATTGGACAGTAAGTCAGAATACCAAAGGAGAGGGGGCACCGAGTGTTGCTTTTGTTTTAATTGGTCACGGGCCTGGAGGCCGTTTTCCTTTTGTTACTTTCTCTCCCCTGTCTGTCCTAGGTATTTGGCACACAGACCGATCGTAGTGTTGTTGGGCGGGAAGAAACAATGATGGTAAACTGGGTGATCTGCCGGCAGGAAGCGGGGGAGGGGACAGGGTATATGAGAGAGGGGTGGATATATGTGATATGAACATTCATCACTTGCATACGCATGGGCATTAGCATGGGTTTGCTCGTTTGTATGTCGGTCATTGTCGGATTGCCATGGTTTCGGTTGGTGGGAACTTTTGCCGCAAGAGAGAGATTCTTTGCATTATGTGAGGAGAGTTTCCCTCCATCTTCCTCTTGGTCCAATGGAAAGGTGGGGTGTCATGATAGTTGATTGCCTGTATGCAGCACAGAGAGACTCAACGACAGCATGATCCACCTCCTTTGGCGAATATCGCTACACGGCCAACTACGGCCATTATGGCGTGCCTAAGTTGTGTAGCAGTATTCAACGGAGCGGAGTGGAGGGGGGACGGAGGCGAGAGGAGGGGGGTTGGTAGTACGATCGGTGACCAGGGTTTTTTTCGGTTGATCAAGGACGGGGGTTGTGACTGGGTGGTTAGAATCGGTACTGACATCTGTTGTGTAACGTGCTTACGCATGCAGCGGCAATGGGTTAGCATTCTGTTAGTCGATAGTCGATCGTTGAAGTTGATAACGACAAGTGTGATATGATAGTATATGCTATTATGCCGGTAGTATTCGCGACCCCGGCTGCTGGTACTCAGGATGAGGGTTTTGACATGTGAAAGCACTTTTACTCAACTTCCACATTGGGAACGTCAACGCACTTTTGTCTTGAAACTGGAGTCCGCGCATAGCAAACTATATGCCACATTGTACAATGTCTAAACGTCCAAACGCCATCCCGTCTCCTGCGCGCTCAGCAACTGAGAACGCTAATGTGCCGACGACGTCACAGCGCGACCACACCGTTTCAAAGGAACTCGGTCGTGTGTTAGCCGACCATCGTACAGCAAGTCTCAGTGCGCGATCCGATAGCCGGGCATCGACAGGGAACAGGAGAGCAATGTTTGGTACGAGTTGATTCTCGTTGGATTGGGTCAAGTCATCGGCGGTATTAGCTAACCGGCTGTACAACGGTTACACCTACCGATCTGCAGTGAATCTAGGCTGTGGGGGATGACTTGCAGGTCTCAGTTGAAGATCGGTAAGGAAGAGATAGTCGCCACCGCAGGAGAACAGGAGATGGCGATCAGTGGAGAGGGGTATTGTAAGAGTATGGTAACGGTAAAAGGAGTGTATTCGTATCGCCATTCTGTCAGGTCCCACAGAGAACGATGTGGCTCAGATAATGCTGTGCTATCTGCAACGCTCTGTCTTTCGTATGATCTGTTGTGATGCCTGTGCGTCGCGCCGTCGCTCCCCGTGTCTACAGCATCTGTCATTGACAGCCGTCATCTGCATGTCTTGGTCTACTCTGCTCTTTTGTGTTCACCGAACTTCTTCGCGAACATCGATACCAGCCCCACAGCGCCCAGTACCTCGATCATCCCCACGTCTCATCTTGCGCATCACCAGGCAGGATGCGGGGCGTCCCATCAATGTAACCTATCAGCCGAATTTTCTGCAGGGCGCGCAAGGCAGGCACTCGCGGGGTTCGGGTGCATCGGCTTAGACGTTGAGGGTGCGCAACAGGAAGAGTGGAGACTGTATTCGCAATGGTAGCGTGAACTTGGTTCTTCGGATGCTACCGAAGTGTTGGCCATGAGGTTACCACCCTCCTCACCCCAACAATATGCGGCATTTGGTACCCCACGAGGTCTACTTTTGCGACGTTTGAGACGAGGTGGTCGTAGGAGTTTTCGAGCCGGGGCCGTCACTGTCGTCGCCGAAGCCTAGGTTTCTAAACGAATCAGGAGCCATGAGATTCCTGTAAGCACAGAAGTGGTCAGCAATACTCTTATCAAATGCATAAGAACGTGCAGGACAAAAGAGAGTGTATGCGACTCTTTCCGGAGGCTGTCGGGATAATCTGGTGGTATGAGGGCCGTTGTCTTCACCCTCGCTTGCTCTGGAACGGAGAGCGGAAGGAATATTTCGCAATGTGTGTGTAACAGGAAGGCGTAGAGTATAGCCCGAGAGAAGGAAAGCTTGGTGTACGTACCGGTCCATACGGCATGATAGGTAGGATTTGGAGAGGTTGCGGCATTCGGGGTCGTTGGTCCCGCGGTGGGATTTGATGCATCGGAGGTACGAGAGCATGATCTCTTTGCATTCGCCTGAATTGAACTGTCAGTATATTCTGTATGTATCTCAATGACGGATGCGGGCCAAGGTAAGCGGGACAGGTAGGTAGGATGTATAAGTCGAGGGTGGGTTCGCGTACCGTCGTGATCGAGAGGAAACGAGCCTCGCTCTGGCCTGGAACGGATTGAGAGTCAGCAAGAATTCGTAGGAAGACAGAAAGAGGTAAATATGTGCTGTGTGTCTATCTGATGGCACAATGCGACTGGCGCGTTGAGGGAAGAACTTACGGATTTGGCCTGATGACCTTTTGACCAAGTCCAGCGCCTCCAAAGTTACTCATTTTGAGGTATTGAGCGATTGAAAAATGTAGTCGAGGATGTTTCGGGAGTCCGTGACGCGGTGGTCGAGTGCAATGGTCGTGGTGAAGAGTGGTGACTGTGGTGGAGTGAGCATTAGACAAACTTAGCGCCATTGGACTCGTTCGCTGGCCAGTGCTCTGCTTTCATCCTTGCAACCTCGGAATGACGCAACCACCGTCGAACGTCAAGCACGTTATGGCTTGCCAAAGACGCGCTTCCATGTTCAATCAATTCATGCGTAGCTTACTCTCTGTTTAGAGTGCGTGGTACTAGGCTTTTAGGAATGACTGTCGCGAGAAGCCGGGTAGCAATCTCAGTTGACAGCGCTCACTTCTCGTCATCTTGTACGATACATACTCCATGAGGACGGAGAACGTGTCTTTGGGTCTGCTCGAGCCTGATTTGTATGGAAACAGTCATTGGGTATTTTTCGATCAATACCACATACTCATGGTTGGTCTGGTCATGCAAGCGCCAGCGCGCGGTGGCGTCGTCGCCTGGGCAATGCGCAGGTGAGGGGTTGCGCCTTACTTTCACTCTACCACCATCGAACCAAGACTACAATACTATCTAGGGAAGCCCGACTCGCTGTTAAGCACGTCGCTAGTATGAGCGATGCTCATCAGACGCCCCGCCTGCCTCCTGTTACATTGAATACCTCTCAGTATTCATCAGAAGTTACGACCACGAGGCTGCCTACACCATCCCAACAGAGGTTTTGCGAGCCTTGCAGGGCTTTTCTCCGAGGAGATAGTACAAAATGCTTTGGTCCAGACAAATATGACCATAGTGAGAGTCTGGATCATGAGTACATTCATCATGTCGATGCGGAGTCTTTCCAGCGAGCTCTTGAGCTTCCTTGTAGCATATGTACTCGGCTCTACAAAGCATTCCAAAGAACCTCCGGTATACTTGGCTTTATTAGAGCGTGTCATGACGGCTGACTTATTGTTAGGACGATCGAACCACACCATTTATTTGACAGGACCAACGCATTACTGTTGGTTAAATGACGACCTCAGTTTCCTGAGCCACTGCGGAACTGTTTGGCCTGGACTGGTACCATACGAATGTAAGAACAGTCATGTTTTGCATGTTGTCTATCTATCCAAGACTGACTCTAGAGTAAAGCAAGGCCTGACTTACATTATCAACATATCACTCAAAACACGGGTGATGCTACAGCTCTTTCATTCTTGAAGGATCGGTACCACCAATGCCGAGAAAAGCATTCGCAATGTCAACGTATCGCACCCTATAATGATTACATGCCAACTAGAACCATATTTGTTGGATCTGCTGGGGAAGAAGAAGTACGCCTTTGCGATAGTGTCGAGATGATCGCCGGATCCGCCTACATTGTACTTTCACACTGCTGGGGCAAGAACCCGCAACATGTCATGCTGACAAAATCTACTGTGGAGATGCTCAAAGAAGGCATCGCTCTGTCTTCTCTGCCAAAAACTTTCCAGGACGCCATTGCAATAACACGGATATTCGGCATCCAATATATCTGGATTGATTCTCTGTAATGCCGCCGCATCTCTCTCTAGCCTCGCAGTCACTAACCATATAAAGGTGCATTTTTCAGGATGACTTACACGACTGGGCAGCTGAAGCTTCTCGTATGCGCGATGTTTACAGCAAGGCCGAACTCTGTATTGCAGCCACTGGCGCTGAAAATGGAGATGTTGGTCTTTTTCTTGATCGCGACACCGAACAAGTCACACCCGTCATGGTCGAGGCTACGTGGTCAAGGGAGCACTATTTATCACGCTGGCTAACCCCAGGTTTCTACCTGTTTGGCTTTAATCATGTCGAGGCTTATGAAGCCATCGATGCTGCGCCTCTGAATCAAAGGGCATGGGTTGCTCAAGAACGTTTTCTTTCTCCACGGATCTTGCATTTCACACAATCCCTGCTCTTCTGGGAGTGCCAAACATTTCTCACACACGAAAACGATGCAGTGTTGGAAAATCCAAACTTTCAAGAATTCCAGGGAATCAACTATTTCAGAGAGCAACTCATTCAAGTTCAAAGGCCAAAACTCAGCGTTGGACCTATGCAGGATGTCACTCTTCCCAAAACTACGCCAAGAGAGCTCTACAACGCGTGGTGGGAATTTCTGGCGGATTACACTTCATGCGGCATCACTAAAGAGTCAGATATCTTGGTTGCGCTAGTTGGCGTAGCAGACCACGTTGGACATGCTACGAACGATTGCCTGGTTGCTGGTCTCTGGAAAGCAAACTTCATCGAAGAGCTGTGTTGGCGTTCAGACGGTAATATCTCGAAGCCTAGCGTCTGGCGCGCACCAAGTTGGAGTTGGGCGAGCTTGTCAAGCCGTTGTGACAATTTTGCATACTCGAACGGCAATATCGATCATCAAATGGCAGCAGTAGTCGAACTCTATATATCGACAAAGTCTTCAGGAGAAGTAGAACAAGGCTCAGCCCTCGTGGAATGCAGACTCGTTCCAGCCGCTGTCCAGTATAGAGGACTGAAAGGTCACGATAGATACTACAACGCCTGCACCACTTTAGGCAAAAAGGTTTCGACCTCGTTCTCCGGAGAAACTTATATTAACAGTGATGAGTTAATCAGCGTCCAGCTTGACGTTGCGGAATCGCCTTCTTGCTACGCTGATCAAGCGGTCGACGTTCAACTGCTTGTGCTCTTGAAAAATGGGGACGGCTCTATGTATTGGATGACACTAGACGGAATCTGCGTAGTGGGCTCCAAAAAACAGGAGGGTGCTTTTGAAAGGGTTGGGTATTTTCATGCGAAAGGTGCAGCCGCGATGTTATTGCTGGCAGCGTACCACCAAGCTCGGGTTCAAGTGATCTCACTTGTATAATCTGTTTTCTTATACCTCGATTGAATACTAGTATTTGTCTCGAAGACTCTGTTATATAGCTATTGTACCGTGTTAGGAGAGTTCGAGGAGGCAAGTTTGCAATGGACTTAGTCTCAGATGGGATTCAAGAATCCTCTACTGAGGCTTTACATCGCCTTAAGAGCAGTTCGAGCTGTGTCCCCGCTGGAGGGAGACTTAGAAAAAGCGCAGAGACCCAAAAGCTCAGGAAGAAGGGATTGGACGGTCGTACAGGAATGAGTTTTCTCCGTCTTGGCGGACCCCAGGTTTTACCCCACATTCCGACGATCAATACCAGCGCTCAACATAGGCAGGATAGCCGATACCCGATGGAGGAGTGACGTTGGAGGCTGTAGATCTATACCAGACTCAATGCCGCGACCATGGCAAGTAAAGTCGGGCCGCACCAGTGCCGAACATAGAACATCATCCCGCAACAAATAAGTTTCCATTCCATTTTTCGGGACCACGGTCACTCTGCCAGTATGAGGTTTGATACACTCCTGCTTGGGGGCCTCTGCGCCGTATCAAATTTCCCATACGCCTCATCCGCACCGCGCGATGCTCGCTCTACTCAACATGTCCCGGAAGTCAAGAACCGCATATTCGTCCTCACAGACATTGGTAATGAACCCGACGACTCAATGTCTCTGGTCCGGCTACTCGTACACTCCAATCTCTACCAAATTGAAGGCTTAGTAGCAATAACCTCATTCTGGCTTCCCAATGCCACACTTCCTAACATGATCCACGACATCGTAGACGCATACGGAGCCATCCACTCAAACCTGCAATCACACAGCAACACATCCTTCCCAACAGTCGACGACTTGAAAAGCAAGATTGGCAGCGGACCCTCCGTCTACGGCATGCAAGCCTTACATCAACTCGAGAACGGAGCGAACATCACAAACGGCACCCAAATGCTCATCAACGCCGTCGACGCTTCACCATCCCCACTATACGTACAGCTCTGGGGCGGAGCCAACACCCTCGCCTCCGCACTCTGGACCGTAAACCGCACTCGCTCAGCCTCAGAACTGGAAACATTTACCTCCAAACTCCGTGCCTACGCCATCTCAGATCAAGACGACACAGGCCCCTGGATCCGTCGCAATTTCCCTAGTATGCGGTACATTGCCTCGCGCCATGGATTCAACCAATACCCAGTCGCAGCGTGGATCGGCATGAGTTCCACATCCGTAGATCCAGGGGGTCCAGACAACGAAATCGTGTCGCAGGCGTGGCTCACGGAGAACATCCAAGTAGGCGAGCTAGGCAAAAAATATCCCGACGTCGCGTATCTGATGGAAGGTGACTCGCCCAGTCTGCTTTACCATATTCCCAACGGCCTGGGGAACCCCGAGTACCCGGAGTGGGGCAGCTGGGGTGGGAGGTACACGAGTAACCCACTCAATGGCGATGCTGCTGCGCAGCAGTACGGCGATGCTGTGGATATGGCACAAGGTTTGAACGGCGAGATGTTTCTTACGAACCACGCGTCGGTGTGGAGGTGGCGCGATGCGTTTCAGCACGAGTTTGCTGCTAGAATGCGGTGGACGCTCAGCCCTTGGAGTCCTGGTTCTAATACCACGCATCCGCCCGTTGTGTTGCTGAATGGAACGTCTGGCCCGGATGCGTTGCATCTCAACGTTAGTGGTGGGGAAAAGGTGACGCTGGATGCTTCGGATTCGTACTCACCGGATGGGGGCGCGACTCTGAATTTCACTTGGTTCCAATATTCGGGTCCGTCTTCATATCAATCCTCGCCGAGCGATGTCCCTACGGTCAACTTGACGGATGTTTCTGAGCCGGGTGCGAGCGCCGTGCGTTTCACAGTGCCCTACGGAATGTACGATACGTGCGTCGCCGACGAGGATGTGACTGAGTTCGGTCAGTGGGGGGAGAAGCAGAAATGTCCGATTCTACATGTCGTCGTTGCCGTAAAGGATGCAAGCGCGGCACACCCAATCACCAGATACAGGCGAGTGCTATTGCACGTGCAGCCATATCGTCAAGAAGAAAAACGTTGAAGAGTTTGTGTACTGGTAAGCAGCCGTGGGTAGAGGACTACATCGGTGGGTTAGCTTTTGCCTTCCTCCACCGCAGCCAACATGAACAATGTGGAGCAAGACGTTTCTGCACAGCCTGGTGAATAATGTATATTAAACCAAACACGGTAGCCATGCAATATCAAGGCTTGACACCAGGCTTCAGAACAACCTGCCTCCCAATCCCAGTGTGCTTACTCGCCCAATCAAAAGCCGTCTCCCAATCGTCCAGCCCAAAGCTTTTAGTCTCGACAAATGTCCCCGTCCTCGAAAACAACCCTCGCTCAAGCATTTTAACCATTTGAACAAGATCACCCCGTTCGTACATCATCTTCCCTTTCAGCGTAATGTTGCGCCAAACGCAAAGCCCCGGAACGACCGGCCGTTCCACAAAGCCCATTAGACTGACCCGTCCGTTCCGGCGAAGCGCACTCGTCGCAGCTCTAAGATACGTCGACGTGGATGCTTGCGGCGGCGTGAGATCTAGCACAGCATCGATGATACCAAAGCTCTGGAGGGACTTTAGATCTGCAGCCTGGTCTCCGTTGATTCTCACGGTCTCGATGGAAGCGCCTGGAGTGCCCTTGAGCACGTGCTGTTTCAGTCTTGCAAGTTCTTCTTCGTTGCGGCCCATGGCGATGACTGTCGCGCCCATGGCAATCGCGACTTGCACGCCTGCACCGCCGTATCCGCCTGTGGCAGGACACACGGCAATGGTCTCTCCAGGCTCGAGTCTGATGTCTCGCAGTCCGCCAAAGGGAACCATCAGGTAGCCAATGTACATGAGATCTTCGATTGGGTAACCCAGTTCCTTGCACAAGACTGTCTCGTTTAGAACAATGCAGTTCTCGAGCGGGAACTTTGCATATTCGGCAAATGCGCCGTCGCACCAGACATGTTGCATTAGCTTTTTGCTGCCTGGTGCTCCGCCGTCGTGAACTGCAGATAAGAAGAACGCGTCTGGATCATCTCGCGCGTGGACTACGCAATCAACATAGACAAGTTGACCCTCGGTCAAAGCCGTGGCGTCAGGCCCAACGGCAGCAATCCGACCGATAGCACTGCCGCCACCAACTATGGGTGTTGGAAATGAATAGGGACGTTCGCCGTTGTACACTTCGAGGTGGTAGGAGAGAATCTTGGCGGCTTCGATGCGAACGATGGCACTTCCTGGGTCGGCCTTGAGCATGGGCTTCTCAACGATCTGGAGGCCCGTATCGACACTATCGACCTGCAGTGCGCGGTAGGTGACAGGTAAGTGGTTTGCCATATTTGGAGAAGTGATTCGGGCTGGTTGTGCAGGCTTGGAGGTAGCACCATGTTCACTGAATCGACGCCTTCTTATACTGCTGCCAACAGTGATCACAGAAGATTGAGTCGACGACTCGACGGATATAGAGTCAGCCGCATGCATTGCAAGACAAACTGTGACGGAGATAGACGGAGTTATGGGTGATGCCAAGGGCGATGTGATTCCAAAGTACCATGCTGCTCGGTCCTTATGCGGACACACCAGTTTCTCTGCGAAGTTTAGACAAACGCGCAGGGAATTGTCAGTCGTCAGAGATTTGGACGGAAAGATAATGAATCCACGCGTGGGAAAAGTGGTGCATTCCATTCCCTCCCAAAAGCAAGCAAGCAAAACGTAGTCGTGTCTTCACTACCTGACCGATCCAGGGAAGATATCGACCTCTGCTGTTCTTCCCTCGTCTTTGCTGCAATCATTTACCCATCTATGCCATTTTCTGTCTCGATGGTTGTGAAAAGGCCAAGTTGTATCTCCGCTACCGAATACATCTAGAAAAGAGACGTGTGCAGTCCGGGATGCACATGTTTCCAACAGTTCAAGCGCTCTGGTACCCAACTCTTGTCCATCAGTTGATATTGGCTTTTCCATATTCAGTACTTACCTGCATCTTACACTACTAATTTATGGTGTTGGAGCGCGAGGTGTCGCAAGTCGTCGCTGTATGCCTTAGGCGACCTACGCTAATCTCCTCCTGTTCAAAGGATCGTGAAGGCCTTGACGATTTCATTTCCCAGACAAATGAATAGGCAGAAAAACGATGAACTAATCCACAAATGACTCTGCATAGTCAATCTTAGCCGTAGTTCATGGGCATTATCCATGGGGTTGACTTAGGTGGGAGCGCTCTTGAACTGTTTTTCCCCTCCTTTTTGGTTGTTCGATTTCTCCCATTTTCAGTCCTTCTTTTTTTTTAGCGATTTTCCCAGTGCTGTTGATAGACTGGGGCCTTTAACTGGAAGAATCCCGACATGCGGTCCCTATTATCTCTTACCTCACTCTCACTCCTCGTCTTGCCAACAGTCGCGCAGACCGGCATAGTCGGAACGTGCTACTTGGCCAACGGAACAGCGCTCCCCACAGATCCCATCTACAACCAATATCAACCGTGTCAGTCCGGCGGCCCTTCAACGATATGCTGTGGCATCTTCCGTGACAATGTCGCCGGAGGCAACATTACGGCTGGCGACACAATGGACGAATGTTTGCCCAACGGCCTGTGCCAGAACCGAGCAACAACGACAGATGGGGTGGAAGAAACAAAGTAAGCAGAGTCGATAATATGAGTGCTATAGAATGACGGTTGACACTGATGCCCGTCCAGATTCTTCGTTGATTTCTGCGCCGACGACAACATAGACAGTCCCAACTGTCTCAACGTCTGCGACCAAGTGCGAGATTCCTTCGGCATTGCACGTATAACGCCCTGCGACACCGGACGAGCCGATAGCGATCGATGGTGTTGTGGCGATAGCACGGCTTGCTGTACGAGTAACGTTGGAGTGGTAAAGTTGCCACAAATTATGGGAGCTGCAGTATCGTCAAGTCGAGCAGGTCTGCCAACTACAGCACCGGTTTCCAAAGTATCGTCGGCATCGACAGCCTCAACTCCTACGATGGGGACGGAGGCACCAAACAAGTCACCATCTGCTGCTGTGGGGAATACTGGAGAAGATCCTAGTGTCACTGGAGGTGTGATTGCGGGCATTGTCATCAGCGGTGTCATAGGGCTGGCTCTGCTGGCAGCCGCCGTCTTCTTCGCAAGGAGGGCGTCCAAGTATAAGAGAGAGGCAGCGGCATCTAAATACGCTCAAGACATAGCTGGATGCTTGCCTCAAAATCCGGATCAGGGACAAATGTCAGATTATCAAAAGTATATGCACGACAGCCAGCACACCTACAGTTCCGCTCAGCCGTCTGAACTACCACCGGCACCACCAAGCGAGCTTCCGTCATTTCAGTCGCCTCCTCCAGGAACTACACTGGCGCAACAATGAGGAGAGATGCACAATCCGTGGGGGTGGTGGCGTTGCTTGTGGGTCGACCTGGGCGTGGAAGAGGAGACATGTCGTCGAGGCGCGTGAGGCATTAACGCAGGTGTCCGTTTTCCGCGGATTTCTGGGCCTGCACGCGAAGCCTACGCAAGACGACGGTCCTGTCGGAACTGTGTATGCACTTGACTAACATTGATGCGGGGCTGTTGAGAGAGGTTGAATGTAGCCAGAAGCACACGGGACGGCCTTTCTTTTATCGGCCACGGGCATACACAAGTGCTGGCTTACCTTGCTTACTCACACAGTACACGGGACTGCGGCTCCGCTTCATCGAATGTAACCCCAAGGTCGATTCTCTTGTGTGTAGAATGTGAGGAAGTTTAGAACAGACAGCATTCTGACTCGTATAGACGGATTTTGACAATTCGCATGACGAAAGTGGATCCACCTAGACGTCTGCGCGGTGCGCTCCGCGATGCATGAACGTGTGGGATTCGTCGCGGCATTGGTTGAGGTGCATAAGCGAGTGGCAGCGAAAACGGTGATGTTCACATGTCAGAGCATGTTGACGCCATGTTGCGTTATGCGCGCAGGCGAAGACGAAATGCATTGTCGATGAGGGCAGGCGGCCAGGATGCGGGGATGGAGGGAAGTCCTAGAGGGAAACCTAATTGAGACATGGGAAGCACGGAAGAGGAAAGAATGAATCTTGTTGCGACGGGTTTAGCGGCCGGTGACGTACCGAGCTGGGTCTCGATTCTCGCGGTTCTCAGCAGAAAATTTCCCAATTGCGGCGCCCCATGCTTTCCGACAAGCCGCGCAATCCTTGTAACTGACCGTCTTTGACTATCATGTCTGGTGTCCGAGGAAGCTTCTTTGATTGTCACCTCCGTCGCGTCGAGGCATTGTTATATCCGCCTCCAGCTGTGTTTAGCGGCCGGTAGTCCCTTACTGCCCACCTCTCCACTTATCTCTGCTTGGGCCTGGGGATGCTTCGCTGAGTTTTGGTTGTTTCCTAGAATTGTTCTTAATCAGGCGCCATGCCGTCACGTCTGTTCTCTCGCGACTCGCCCGCCGCAGAGCAACAGCTTCCCTTCACCAGCGATAGCGTCAACGAAGCCGACTTCGCCCAGGATCCGTCGCAGGCTGAGCATGGCGGACACTCGCTCCCGCGCCGGATAAGAGGGGGTTCAATCGCCTCCGGGCACCTCTCTGGATCGTATACGCGCAATCCTATCCGCTCGTTTGCGCATCAGACGTCGCATGGTTTCGCCGCCGATACCCCACAGTACTCGTCGCAGGGCGTGCGCGAGAGAAGCTCCCAGTTGGCCTCGTATGCCCTCGAAGCCGAAGACTACCAAGACAGACCGCCCTTGTCTGACAACGACGAGGGGCGCGGGTCGATAGACACGGGTCGTTGGACCGACACCATCGAGGAGGATAGCGAGGCCGAAACGCCCGACACCGTTATCGGGCCCCAGCAGGACAAGAGCTTCTTCAGCCCCAAGCCGGCAAACTCACACGTGCCTGGCGTCGTCGTCGAGGATACTGAGCGGACCCCTCTGCTCCCCCAAACTAGGCTGTCGCGCGGGGGCCCCCAACAAAAGCAGAAGGCACAGGAGAGCCACTCGTGGACACCACAGTCAAAGCTGCGCTTGCCTCAACGCGTCAAGCACACTTTTGCTGCTGGCCGCCAACACATTCTGGGCGTGGGCCAGTCGCTCACAAACCCAAAGAACTACACCACGGATGCCCTCATTTCCAGCGCTCTCGGCACCGTCCAAATCACATCGGCCGTCTTCCTTGGACTCCTCCTGAACCTCTTGGACGCCTTGTCCTATGGCTATATTCTGTTTCCGCTGGGCGCGCCCATCTTCAGCAACACCGGCCCGGATGGCATCTCCATCTTCTTCGTCAGCTGCATCGTATCGCAGCTCTGCTACTCCTTGGGACTCTCCGTGTTCAAGGGCGGTGTTGGCTCCGAGATGATCGAGGTGGTGCCCTTCTTTCACAAGATGGCATACTCCATCATGGAGCAGATGGAAGGCAAGCCACCAGAGGCCATCATAGCCACTACCATTGTGTCCTACTGCTTGAGCTCCATCCTAACCGGTCTCATCTTCCTTGCCCTCGGCGCTTTCAAGCTAGGCAATCTCGTCAGCTTCTTTCCAAGGCACATTCTGATCGGCTGCATCGGAGGTGTTGGCTTCTTCCTCGTCGTTACTGGCATTGAGGTTTCCGCGCGTCTCGAGGGTAATCTCAACTACGATCTACCTACCCTGCAGAAGCTGTTCTCTGGAGACACCTGGTATCTGTGGACACTGCCTCTTGCTCTTGCCATCACCATCATGGTCCTACGGCGCCTGTCCAAGAGCCCATTCGTTCTACCCGCATTCTTCATCACTGTATTTGCTGTCTTTTACCTCATCGTCAAGGGCATCCTGCACAAAGACCTCGAGCCTGTACGCAACGCAGGTTGGATCTTTGAGACACCCGAAGCGGGCGTCAAGTTTTACAGATTCTATTCTTACTTCAAGTTCGGCAGCATAGATGGAGCGGCACTTGCCAGCACTATCCCGACCATGTTCGCCCTCTCCTTCTTCGGTATCATCCACGTTCCTATCAACGTCCCCGCTCTAGGTGCTGCGGTGCGAGAGGACAACCTTGATGTCAACCGGGAACTGATCGCCCACGGCATCTCAAACACCCTCTCCGGTTGCCTCGGTAGTATTCAGGTAGGACTGTCTTGAAATGCTATACGACGATTGCTAACATATTGTTAGAACTACCTAGTCTACGCCAACAGCGTCATGTTTGTTGACAACGGAGGGAACAGCCGACTCGCAGGTATCTTGCTTGCCTGTGCGACAACTGCAGTCTGGGTTGCGGGGCCAGCCATGGTCGGCTACATACCCATCTGCCTGGTCGGCGCGCTAATCTTCCTCCTCGGTATCGATCTTATGAAAGAAGCTCTTTGGGATACTTTCGGAAAGTGTCACAAACTCGAGTACTTGACCATCGTGGCCATTGTACTCATCATGGGCGTGCACGATTTTGTTGTTGGCATCTTTGTGGGTATCGTCCTTGCATGCGTCAGCTATGTGGTGCAGAGCTCGCGCCACTCAGCTATTCGAGGAACATACAGCGGCATGATTGCAGAATCCACTGTTCGCCGCCCGCGCTCAGATTCTCGCTATCTCAACAAGGTGCGAGGTCAAATCCGCGCCATCAAGCTAGGCGGTTTCCTGTTCTTTGGAACCATTGTCTCTGTGGAAGAGTACATGCGCTCATTGATTGACGACGACAACTTTGAGAAGAACCCCATCAGCTTCATCATTGTCGACTTTACAAACGTCATGGACGTCGACTTTTCCAGCTCGGAGGGATTCCAACGAATCAATCGTATCTTAAACACTAAGAACGTCAAAATGATCATCTCCGGCGTCTCCTTTGCCGATCCCGTCGGTCGCGCCCTCCAAAACGTTGGTCTGCTCGACGAAGATGGCGATGAAGAATGTCCTCCACCACAAGTCTTCGAGGACCTAAATACGGCGCTTGAATCTTGTGAGAACGAGCTACTAGAAGTCTTCCACAAGCACTGGAACCGCCACTCGTCAAAATCCCAAACAACACCGCCGATGAGTATATCCGGTAATGGCAAATCAAGCAACGAACCCATCGCGACAGGCGGCTCCCCCACTTCCTTTGGCGCCAGCTCCCTTAACCCTGTCTTCTCCTCCCCACGCCGCGGCGCCCGCCTCATCGCCGCCCGCTCCACCATGCGCGAGTCTGGCGAAGATTCTCTCTCCATAGTAGACAACTCGTCGCTCAACACCAACAGCAACAACAATCAACCCAGCCAAGCAGTACCAGCTCCCTCGCGCTGGCGCAACTTTGCCCAGCCCCTCAAGATCATCCTCCAAACTTTCGAAGACGTATCCACCAAGAACGAAGACTTTTGGCACGCCGTAGCGCCCTACTTTGAGCGCAAAGAATACCCCGCGGGCACCGTCTTGTACTCGCGCGGCGACGACCCAGACGGCTTCTACGTCCTCGAACAGGGACGTCTGCGCACAGAGTACGAGCTCGATCAGGGTAGCTTCTTTGAAGTCATCTTGCCGGGGACAACGTGTGGTGAATTGCCCTTTTTCAGCGAAACTGATCGTACGGGGACGGTGGCGGCGGAGAATGATAGTGTGGCGTGGCTCTTGACGAGGGACAGGTATAATGAGTTGGAGAGGAGGGAGAAGGAGGTTGCGACTGAGTTGTTGAAGGTGGGGCTCAAGTTGACAAAGGAGAGGATGGATGCTATTACTAGTTATGTGCTTGTTACTGCGTCTTGAGATGGGAGTGGTGTGGGACGATGGAGGATGAGATGAGGGAGGGAATGTCTAGAGAAAGAGAGAGAGAGAGTACGTGTGGTAGATGTATTGGAGGGATTTTGTCTTGTTGCATAGCGTGTGGTTGTCTGTTTTTGTCGTTTGATATATACCACAGTGACGATTCGCTTCTTTTTCTTCCCCTTCATCTTTTCTCGCTTTTGCTATCGAACAATATGCAGCCCGTTTCCATTCTTGAGCGCTGGGATTGTTGATCGTATTGAATTCAAGAGTTACAATCTTGATGTGTAACTTGGAAACAAGCCATGTTGCTATCAACAGAAGAGAGGGGGGAAAACACATGTAAACAAAATATGAGGTTGGTGCCCTCACTAACAATCTGGCTAGACTCTCTTTCCTCCCGCCGCCCAAAAATAGTCATCTGACCAAAATGTGCCCACTTCACTCATGGAAGGGAAAAAAAAATCACAAAAAGAATAGACACAATGTTCTAGCTGCTGCTCGTTTCGATCGAGCGTCCTCCGGGTTATGAGCCCGGCGCGCTTCCGCTGCGCCAAGCAGCTTTGATGAACAGTTGTTATTGGTGTTCGATGGAGTTTTGGAAAATAGACTCATATAGATTGATGAGTTGTGTTTCTCTTCTAGACAATCATGGCACGAACAGATCCTGACCCTCGATGTGTCCATGAAATAGCGGTGTGGAAACTACGGTAAGTGGGTAAGCAAGAGGGGGAAAGATGTGGGCGTGGGCGAAAATAAAATTCGATAGTAAACGTGAGTCATGTTCCAAAACAACCAGCTTCCCTAGCCTACGACAACAAAAGTTAATCTCGTGTAATAGAAAGCTGGGGTACGCGTTCAAGGTTAGACATATACAACAACAACAACAATAACAACAACGTTTGCTGTGTCGTGTAGTTATGATGATGTTGGTAATGGAAGAAACACAGACTTGACTACTACTACTACTACTCTCAACATCTGCTAAATGGAGAAAAACACATTGGTCTTATTACGAGAAATCTAGAATTGCCAATCTGACCACAAAGGAAAATGGTATCCCTAAGCTTTAAGAAAAGAAAAAAGATTGAAACGCCCTCTGCAAGTTCAACATGAGCAAAGATGAGAAGTAGAAGAAGAGGAAGAAGAACCTCAATAGCCTTCTTCTTCTTCCCCAACCCCAACACCATTCAACCCTCAACCCAAACCAACATCACACCCCCCTCGCCTCACACAAATGCCCACTCTTACTCAACACCGTCCCCAACCCCCTATGCACCTCGACCTGAAACCCTTCAAACGGCACCCTCTCCCCATCAATACTAATATACCCAGCCTTCTGATTCTTGGGAATAATCCTATACGCACTCACTTTGGTGTAATCCACATGTTCCAGATCAAAAAACGTGTGATTTTCAATCGCAAGCAGCGTCTTGATAGCGGTATGGCGCGCAATATCGCCACGGATACGAATCAGATCCAGACAGCCGTCTGACGGCAAGCTAGCCGGGAAGAAATTTGCATCGGCAGACATGTATGCAATGTTGCCCGCGTAAAAGTTTCCAAGCGTGTTGTGCGGGATGAGTTGCCAACCAGCGGGCAAAGGGTCGTTCGCGGTACCGTATTTCAGGGCTGGAAGACCGGTATCGGGCGTAGGCACAATGCGCTCATCGGAACTAGGCGGTGGTTTACTCGCCTCGTTCTGATACGCTTCCCGCACGGCAGTCTTGTTGTCGTATTCGACTTTGACCGCGATATCAGCCGGATAACACGTCTTGCTCACAAGACGGACCAAGAACCCCCAGGTAAACCTCGCCGCACCCATCCACCTTAGATGCTCCGTCGCCAGATCCGTCTCGGCCACAATCCCCACCGCCTGCGAGAGAAATGACAGCGTGCGACGGTCTCCCTGCGTCACGCTCGACAAATCGAGCGGCGTGCGGATCCCCTTTACGACGGCCAGCGCAGCCAGACTGGGATCATCGGTGCCGTTGAAATTGAGGCTCATGGCGTTGCCAGAGCCGCAGGGGAGCTGCGCGACGGCCATCTTGTGCAGCGCGCGTGCAGCGTCTGCACGCTTGCCTAGTCCGTTCCACACTTCGTGCGGGATGCCGTCGCCCGAGCAGCACGCGACCACATCGTACGCTTCAATGTCGAGGCTCTGTGCAATCTCTACGCCGTGCCCGTTGTGTGTCGTCTTCTCGACGTCGAGGTCGCACCTCGCGGCCGCCAGGATAGGCGCAATCTGCTTGTGGTAGGTTTTGACGGCGCCGCCTTGTCCGCCAAAAGGGTTCACGAGTACTTTGATTCGCTTGCGTCGCTGCGAGGGGCCGTAGGCGCGCGATAGCAGCTTCTCTATCCAAGCTTCCGTCAAGCGACTGTCGGGTTTGTCCAGGGCGTAACTAACGATTGCGGGACGCACGGCTTTCTTGGACAGGGTCTGCGCATATTGTATCGTGACCTGGCCGTCCTCGGAGTGCTCGGCCCAGAGGATGTTGTAAAAGGGTATGGAACGAGTGGATTTGTTCTCTGCGGTTGCGTAAGCGGGGACTGGGCCGTCTGCATCTTGTCCGCATATGCTTACTGCCAGCAAGAGACAGGCCGCAGCAGCCGGCGCTTTTACTCTCTAGAAGCGCTTCATCTGTACCCGCGTGAGTCGCGTATTCGCAGGCCGTGGTTGGCGCTGCGTACCTAGGACAATGAGGGAATCGGTTCCAAGAGTCAAGGAAGCATTTCTGCCAACAGCGAGTGTGTCGGGGACGTTGAGCGACGGATTCGCATTCATGGGCGGCTGCGAAGGAGTGGAATCGAGCAGAGGGTCTCGAAAGGGATCGTCGGTACCAGCCATCGAGGCCATGATTATTGTAGAGTGTCAAGAGAAGACGACGCACAGCATGCTGTGCAAGGTAACAAGGACCAGGAAGCAAACGTCGAGATTAGTAGACAACGAGGTAAGCTGACCACCGTCACGCTTCATGCGTACGTGCCCTGCGCTGCAAGGGCGGATCCTTGCGGATCACTCGTGCTAAACAAAAAGGAAACAGACCCGCTGGAACCTGCGCGTGGGACGCGAGCCGAGGCATCTCCAGCTCCACCACCCATGCATGCGGACTAGACATCAAGCCAATAACCCTCATTCACATGACAATCAGAATTGAGATCTTGAATTCTTAAGTCTTCAATACATGCAGCAATGCTATATTAGCATTCACCCTGTCCATCATGTCTTTGCTTCAACGCGTCCAAATGCAACACTCCAGGACTAAAAGCCAAGCGAGAAGCCTTCCTTTTTGTTACCGCTTCTTTAGGAACAAAACGCCCATCTCCCGTTACCCCAGACGGGTGATAAGTTGCTTTTTAGCCGGGAACTCATGCCACACCAACCTTATTCAGACCCTTCAACGATCCCAAGCTCAATGCCAAGCCTTGCGAGCGACTTCTTATGCGGACGAACCCGGTGATAGGACCACTGTCGCCTTCCTTCTCAATGCTCAAGTTGGCCAGAGCGTCCTCACCTGGTTTCTGTTAGCGGCGCAAGTCTATGGTAGGGCTGTGCAGGCTTACCAAAAACACTCCTGGCATACAAGTTGGCTGACAAGAACTGGCAGTCGCCCTTCATTGATGCTTCTGGAGTCAAGCAGCTCATATTGGTACATGCCATGAGTTGCTTCAAGAAATCACGTAGCGTCTTGGCCTTGGAGTTGATGTTGACCTTATTCTCCCACTCAAACTCCGTCCACATGGTCCGGAATTGCGTTTCTGTGCATTGCGCGGGCTTGATGTAGTCCATGATGTCGACGTGGACGTCATTGAGAATGACGACATTGGAGTCAACACCCTTCTCACTGCGACAATGTTAGCAATCGTTGCGGACTTGTCGAGGTGAATGACTGACCCTTCGTAGATGATGTTTCCAAAGATGACACCAGTGTCGGTAGACGAGACTGCAAAAGTAAGCATACGAGTCGACACACTCATGGAGAAAGACTTACCCTTAATCGTCGCTTGAATGTTGATGAAGTCGTGGGGTCCAACGTTCTGCGTTGAAGGGCGCTCGACTACCTTGAGATCACCGAGTGTTGCGAATTCGATAGTGAGGTTTTGTAATGTCTCAGTTGTCTGGTTCACGAGAAGAACATCGAGAACGATATCGAATTGGTGAACCTGGTAAAGTCAGCTAACAGTCTCGGTAAATATAGATTGACCCACCTTGACATAGGCTTCTGCGTAGACTGAGTCTGAGAAACCAGTCAGCTGTACGACGCGACTGAGTTTGGATGTGAGATCCTCAGTCGCAGTGTCGCCTCCAGTGGCTAGTTCTAGATCTTGCTCGACACCGTCACTGCCATCCGCGTCTTTCTTCTTTAACTGGCGGATGTTGAAAGAGTCATCGACGTTGACAGCCGACTTTGCACGCTCGGAAGCCTCCTTGGCTGCTCGCTTCTTCTCTTCCGTCTGAACCATTGTTCGGAATGATCTCCGAGTGTCCTCCAAGAAGACAGTCTCAAGCTCCTTTCTTTGCGAGAACTCAGAGAGCGAACGAACACAGGACATGATACGGTCGATGGAGTCTTCGTCAATAAACGTCTTGACGAAATGCGACTGGCCAACACGAATGATTGAGATCATTATGAGCATGGCCTCGGCGCGGAGTGCGTTGGTGCGAGCGTCGTCCTTTGAGATTTCCTTGTGGCGCATGACGAGCTTGGTGAGAGTGCTGGACAGAACTGTGGCAAGATAATAGTCGCCGTCGAGGAGAAGTTGTCGTAGTGGAGGCTTCTGTGAGTTCTTGACCGCCTCGAGCTTTGCCTTGGCAGCGGCGGAGGAAGTCAGAGCACTTTCAGTTGCATAGGTGCCGTCAGCGAGCACTTTCCTTGATCCGGTTGGAGCTGCCTTTGCGTGTCCATTGACTTGTTCACTGCTCTCTTTGCCCTCTGATGCATCGTCCAACAGTCGTTGCTCAGAAGCAAGGATGGGAATCTCGCCAAGTGATGAACGGATACCCTTCCATGCGTCACGGATATCCTTGGCCTCGAGGGAGAACTCTCCGATAATCCAGAGCACACCACGGTAAACCTTGCCGGCGCGTACTTCGCCAAGAGTCGAGACCAGTCGTTCGATGATGGAAGCTCTCAAATCTGGGAAGCGCTCAACAACCTCCTTGACAAACGAGATGACGTCGACTGCAGAAGCATTGCTGCTGACATCGGAGATGAAGTCCATGAGTGATCCGACGACGCTTGCTGCGACTTCGGGGAACTTGATGGCGGCGGAGTGTATCGACGAGATGAGGAGCGATCTGTATTCGGGGTTCTTCTCGTATTGTTCGTCCACGGTCTTCATTAGCTCCTTCTTCAGCAGCAGGACGACTTCCTCAACATTCCTGCTTGAGATCATCTCCATTGCGATGTTGAGCGATTTCTTCCGGACGTCCAGGTCGGTGCTGGACAGCACACGGAGAACCTCCATTGTCAGATCATCAAGGACTCCTTCATTCTTGTGTCGTAGTTGGTCAACCCTCTCCAAGACAATCAGCTTGACATTGTTGTCGGGCTCCTTGATAGCCAGCTCCACAAACTTTGCTGCAGCAGCCTTTACGGCGACTGGATTGCTTGTGAGGGTTGTAAGGGCGTGGGCGGCCTCGTAGATGACGGTCGAGACTTGGGATTCGAGGAGGTCGAAGATCAAGCGGAGGTAGCGGGCCTTGTTGGATGGGTTCACAATGGCATCTTTGCGGATAAAGTCTAGTTCAGCGAGAAGAAGAAGCTCTTCGTGGTTGGGTATGGCGTCAAAGACGGTGCTGAGGTATTCGAGAGCCTTTTCATGGCTGACGGAGACGAGGGCGGCGAAGGCATTGCGCTTGCAAGTCGGGTCGTTCTCGTCGTCTAGGAATGTGACCAGAAGATCGGGCGCATCTGGCATGAGTTCGGGGAGATGTGTGAAGATGGACGCGATAGCGAAGGTTGCGTTCTTTCGTACGTATGCGTGTCGGTGTGCTAGGCACTGACGCACCGGTTCTACAGCTGTCAGCATGACGCTTGGGGGAGTGGAGGATATGGCTCTTACGTAGTAGGGGCTCGACAAGTTCAGCATCTCGTAGCTTGGTTCTGTTGCGTGCATCAGCAATGTCCGGGGGTGGTGGCTTGGTGTATCCTACACGAAGCGCAATGTGTTTCCTCGTACGTATTCGTTGGGCGCCTGCAGGTCGAATCGAATCGCATTACTAGCACAGTCAGCAGCCGTTGCACTCGGCGTTGGCATCATGTCCTACCAGACGAGAATCCATTCCTGCCGTAGCTTGCCCTGAGCGTCGTGCTTGGGGCATACCTCGAAGAAGAAGTACATGAGCTTCTTGAGCGGCTTCGACTTGCTGGGCATGACGAATCGGATAATGTGCATGAGTAAACCGGCCTGGGGGTCGCCATTGAGCATAATCGAGAGGATCTTCTTCTGTAAAGCTGTCAGACGGTCGCATTCACTACCACCATCGCGGGGCACTGCAATTGCAAGAGCGCACCATAGTCTCGATCTTCTGCTCATCGCTGCCCTTTTCCAGAGCGTTCTTCAGCTCATTCTGTGATGGTACGTCGGCAGCATTGTCCTGGTGCACCTGTTGTTCTCCGTCAGCTTCCCCATGTCCCCAGACCCACTGCCAGGTGTTCCTACCAGACTGTACGAGTTCTCGAGGAAGGCCGCCATGATGCCCGTCTGGCTCTGGTATGTGCGATGGTCCCGAGATATACAGTATCCAGCTGCGATAACGTGACTCTCAAAGGCCTTCAGCCCTCAGTGTCCCTTGGTGTCCAGAATAAGTGGGATGCTACGTGTATCGATCGACTTGGGCGGGTGCGGAGGGTCGTGAGCTTTGGCGCAGCTGCAGGCAGGTGGCGGGGGTGAAGAGACGGAATTGCCCTGGCGCGAAGAGGTTGCTTCTTGGGTATCGGGGTGCAATGCTGGACTTGGCTGTTTACCTCCAGGTGTCTGCTCGAGAAATGGTCGCTCCAAGGCCGCCCTCGCTAGGCTTGCAGGGGTCCGGCCGCCAAGATCTCCAACTCACCTTGCTGCCGTCCAACATCAACACCACGACGCGCAGCTGAACACGGCGCATTTCTATACGCGCAATTTTACACATCAGCCATACCCATCCGCAAACATGACCACCAACGAGCCATTCTATCTTCGATACTAGTATGCAGCCTATCGGCCTCGAGAGCACGTGCAGTTATTAACATTTTCGCAGCTCTGGCCACCAGGGCCGATTTGGACACGAGTTCCTGGGTGCGTACTGTCTGCAAGAGAGTTGCGGATGAGAAAAGTTGATTGTTGATCAGAGTTCGACTTTCGGGTGCTTGGAGATGGCCGCAGCGCATCTGCCCGTTATGCAAACAACTCCAACTACCGCAACGATAGCCTTATCCGGAAAGAGAGTACGAAATGCCCTGCGTTCGACGTTGCCAGTTTCTAACGCATCGTTAGTGTGTGTCAGCGATGCGTTGGTAGCCGAAATCAAGCGCATCGTCAAGGACAGTGAAATTCTCAAGTACGTCGAGCAATGGAAGCGCACACAACCATCTGCTAATCAGTGCTCCAGAGAAGATGACACAAAGTGGCCTCAAAAGAACAAAGATGGTCGTCAAGAGCTGGAAATTCGGTTAGGCAGTGAACACATCTCCTTTGAGGTAGGCTTGACCATGCCCATGACCTGTCTTGATATTGACGATTGCAGACTGCAAAGATCGGCTCCCTCCAGGACGTGCAGGACTCGTCGGATCCAGAAGGCCTCCGTGTTTTCTACTACCTGGTACAGGACCTCAAGGCTCTGGTCTTCTCCTTGATATCTCTTCACTTCAAGGTACGCATAGCGCGCATTCGCATGTCGAGCATGCAAACTCACAACTCTACAGATCAAGCCAATCTAGGTCTTTCGCTGCCACATGTGAGCCACAGCAACGCTGCTTTTGCCGATAGCGCGCAGCCACTGCAGTGTGGCACAACCGCAGCTTGACGTCGAATGACGCAAGGACGGCGTATGGAGTCAACTAGAGGAACCACAACGTTTGTGGCTAGTGTCACCTGGTATCCGTGAACCTGTCGGGGATGATGATGTAGGAAAGAGAGGCGCCGCAAGGTCATCTGACCACGACTCGCTAGATCTGACGGGGCGGCTCGGAAAGTCGCCATAGCACACTTGGCAAGGAACAATAACATGCTTCACAAATGTTCACAACAAGATCAGATAAAGGCTTCCTATGCTACCCACCCGGCCGTAGGCGTTCAGGGTTTTGGCCCCATGTCATCCCACGTGAGACTAGCGCCTTTTCCCCGCGTAAGTGCAGCGCTCAGCGACCCACTAACCGCCTAGACACGTCCGCCGAGTCCAAGTCATCCATCCAACATGCATACTTGCCCATCGCCACTACTTTTGGCCCTGCACCTCTGTACTGTATAATCGCACTCTCATCTTCCCTCCGTCTCATGTATAACCGACCCGTACCTTGCTTGTAATCTCCTCGCACCTGCTATCGGACGATGCCGACGCCCGACGACGAAGCCATGGTCTCGCCGGTGGAGCACGAGAGCATCGCTGGCCGCACGACCTGTCCGCCAGAAGATGCGCGCATTATCCCTACCCACGAATTGAATGATATACCAAGTCCAAGTGTGCCCATGCAGCAGCCGACGCCATCGCCGCAAAGCTCGCGCGAGCCTACCCAGGCGCCCGACGATACCCACAGCAAGATATCAAGCACCAACATAGAAGCACCAAGCAGAGATATACCCACCCCAATGACCGCGACCGACGATGGCACCGACGAGCAACGCACGTCTCAGGCTTCGCCGCTTTCCACGGCAGCGCCAGTTTCGCTGCTCGCCAATCACCTGTCGTCGCCGTTTCCTGCGCAAAGGGTGCGTTGTTTTCAGCATGCAGACCGAGCATTGCGCAACGCGAACATTGCTGATGGCGATACAGTTTACACCAAACACATCGTCCTCCCTCCTTCGGCCCGGTAGTCGCTTCGTGGGCACTCAAACCTCTGACCGCCAGAAGTATGAAGTCGAAGTCGAGATAAAACACGTCGACATGCGCGAGTCTTTCATGTGTGGCTACTTGCGCATCAAAGGTACGCACACGTCTTACAGTACAATGCACAGAGCTAGCAGGCTAACTAGTCCCTAGGTTTGACCGAAGACCATCCTAGCTTGACGACATACTTCGAGGGCGAGATCATCGGAAGCAAATACACATTCATTACCCAGCACCCGGAATGGGGTTCCAACGAAAAGGTCGACCGACAACATTGGGCGCGGTTCCCTGCATACAAGCCGCTGTCAAAGTACTCCTCGCGCCAAGAACTGGTGACCAAGGACTGGATGCAGAAGGAGCACTTGTTCATGCGATGGAAGGAATACTTCCTCGTGCCAGACCACCGCGTCAGAACAATAAGCGGAGCGAGCTTTGAGGGCTTTTACTACATCTGCTTCAACCAGGTCTCGGGTGGTATCGAGGGCATCTACTTCCACGCTAAGAGCGAGAAGTAAGTCCCATCCCCCATGTATCCCTCGATATAGAAATGTGCTGACCCCATCGCTAGGTTCCAGAAGCTCCAACTGGAACACGTCCAAGACTTTGGATGTCAGGGCGCAATTGAATTCCGATAATGTTGATGATTGAAACGAGAATTTGGGCATTTGGGTGTTAGGACTTAGCATTTGGGCGCACACACCGGGCTTGATCACACTTCTTGTATCGTATTTTCTTTCCCACGGACCATGTGCAGCGTGCGATAAGGTCGTAGGGCTTTTCTATAGTAACGTCCCTGGAACACCCAGGTCATGAAGTATTACGTCACTTGGCGATTTGCAAGAAAAGCAGCGCATCGTTGCGCGAACGGCTGTTGTGTTCACCCAATCTGCATTGGTGGACCAGAGACCCTGGCGCTAGCAAAAAACTCGCTTCGTGATACGCAACTACCGTAATCGACTATTACCTCAGCGCCTGTGCATCTACTCTTCGACACCAACAAACTTACTTGCCCATCCAGCAACTTGCCGCTATATTCGAACATCACGCAAACATGCCAGGCGAACCAGCAAAGCGCACAAGGCGCGAAGAATACAGGAAATCCCTCCAAACAGATGAGCAACAAGGCGCACTACCCAAGAAGAAGTTTTATAGACAACGCGCCCATGCAAATCCCTTCTCAGATCACTCTCTCACATAGTAAGATTAATTTTGATGTTTTGATTTCTCCCGAAAACAGTCAATTAACATGGACATAGCCCTACGAGCCCCGCAGACATGGACTGGGCCAGTCTGTACCCCAAGTACGCCAAACATGCAAAGAAAGAGATGGGAGAGGCGCAGAATGAGTCACATGATGTTAGCATTGAAGAGCAGCAGAAGCTTAATGCAATTACGCAAAATGTCGAAATCGCAGACATTGGATGTGGATTTGGTGGTCTACTCTTCGCCCTTGCACCCAAATTCCCGGATACATTGATACTAGGTAAGGACAACAACTTCACATGCCCGCAGCTCCCATAGTCAGAAAAGAACCCGGTTGCAAAACAAGGACAGCCAACAAACACTCTACACATACGAATGATTATGGAAAAATTAACAAATTTCGCCAGGCATGGAAATTCGCACCTCGGTAACAGAATACGTGCAAGAAAAAGTACGCGCCCTCCGCGTGCAAAACGCATCAACAAATGCCTACCAAAACGCATCCTGCATCCGCGCCAACACGATGAAATTCCTCCCCAATTTCTTCCAAAAACACCAACTCGGTAAAATCTTCCTCTGTTTTCCCGACCCACATTTCAAGCAGCGCAAACACAAGGCGCGCATCGTCTCGTGGACGCTCAACGCAGAATACGCCTATGTGCTGCGTCCCGGGGGTATCGTTTATACGATTACCGATGTCGAGGATCTGCATGTGTGGATGAGGGGCCATTTTGAAAAACATCCGAGCTTTGAGCGTGTAGAAAGGGTGTTTGAGGAGGGGGAGACGGTGGATGGGGTCGAGGGCGTGGGTATGGATGAGTGTGTCAAGGCGATGAGGGTGGAGACTGAGGAGGGGAAGAAGGTGGAGAGGAATAAGGGGTTGAAGTTTGTGGCGTGCTTTAGGAGGGTGGAGGATCCGGCTTGGCCGGAGAGTGGTGGGCCTTGAGGTCGGTTGGGGGTTTGGGGGGATAAAGCACTGTTCTGGTGTATTGTAAATATCAGTCGTTCTTGCGCCTAGGTTGTCAAGGACTCTTGTCTACTTTGGTATCTACTGTTTGGTTCAAAGCAGGTTCCAACGCCCCTTCACCATCGCATCTTGGGTTTTGTGTAGCGAGTAAGCATGGCGCTATCCAATCCGCTGGAGAGTAGAGAAGAATCAAGTAGTGACCGAGAGTTAAGTCATTGCTCTTTACATAGCTATACTGCTTTAGCCATTTAAGATACTTTTGTCAGCACAAGGACACAACTCGTGAAGGAATCATCCTAAAACCATATCCTTCCAAGCCCATTCCCCTCCTAAGAAAGCGTCAACATGTACCCTACCTAGCCCTACACGTCTCGACTCCCCACTGTCAACAGTCTCTACAAGCAAGACATTGTAAATGCACCAGGGCTTACTCGCATCGAATGCTTTGACGTCGAATTCTATAAAGTCTTGTGGATCCAGGATCGAGGCTTCCGAGTCCATGTCTGTTGGCGAATCCTGCGTATCTGTCCCGTGACCACTGTCGTCGAATTCATCGCCAAAGGGACTCATATCGGTTGCGCGGATCGTTTCGCAGATGAGGTGTGTTCGGGAGAGACAGATGAACTCGTACTCCCCTGGATGAATATCTTTGGCAATTGAACCTGGTATTTGGACTGTACCGACTAGGGAGCCAGTGCTATTGAACACTTTTGATGCGCAGACGATATGTTGATCATCTTTGCACGGCACTAGTGCGGATAATAGAGGATCTGCGTGCTCTCCAGTCACGTTAAATCGAATTGCCATGCATCGAATTCGTAGATGCTGTGTACCGGGCCGGACATGCGTAAACGACTCCAACCCAGCTGAATTTGAATTCTTGGAAACAGGATGAAGGAACAGCATGTCGGGATTTTCCTTTTCGTAATAGCATAGATCGTACGTCCACCACTCTTCGCGCTCAAGGCTTGGATTTCCCCGAACCCAGTCATCTTGAAACCACGCATCGTCAGGCTCAGCCGTTTCCGGGCGACGGAATCGGCAAGACGTGAAGTACCTGCCCGTAACAGCGTCTTTCCACTGGACTCTCGACAAGGCTAGATTCGGCCAATACTTCACACCACCTTCCCAGCCAGCCCAGCTCCAACTAGGGAACAACTCGTTCCCATTGCGATCTTCCCGCCGACGTAAAGCTCTTTTCGGCTGCCACAGAAGTGCCTGATCGAGTTCTGTATCAGGCAGACCAAATAGAAAATCCCCCCGAAAAGAGGTTCTCAACACCGACAGGACCCCCGCAAATGCCTTCACCGTATCTTCATGGAATGATATATTCCGCGACGAATACTCCTCCACGGCTTCGGCATACGTCTCAAAGTTCGTCTGAGCGTTCACGACGTAAATCTGCCCGCTTACTTGCATCGAGCCACCGGCTCCGCGTGGGGATTCCTCCAACGCAACATCCTCGCAGAAGGAGTAGCCGTGATAGCAGTTGAAGTAGATCTGGGCATCAAACAGAAACAGAAGCCGCGTGGATAATATGCCTTCTTGGTATGTCCAGGCACGTGTGTTCCAGGTGCATGTATCGAGCACTGTTGCGAGAGGAGGGAGGATTGTTGCGAGAGATATGTCTTGGATGTTGGTGGTATATTTATCAGGATAGGGTGATTCGTTGGTTTTGGGATGGATTCGAGATAAGGGAGTATTGGCATCTGTGGCAGAGGCTGCCACTAGACACCAAGCTGCCGTATTGTATACTTTATCCATAGCGTCCAGTAATGCATTCTTTTCTGGGTGGTCTTGTATGATGCAAAGAGCGTCAACCCATAGGTACCGTTCACCAAGCTTCTTCGCAAAATTCATCGCATCCCTGATGGTTGTAGGGAGACGTTCTTTGTGCTTTTCTCGCAAGAGACTTCCCTTCTCTGCAAGCTCTTCTGCGTTTGCAACAGTAGCTTGGAGCTGGTCGACTTTGCCCCACACATAGCTCAGTGCAACGTAGCGCATATCCCAGCTACCGATAACAACGCAGTCGTTCTTAACATCAATAACGCGTAGATCCACCCAAGTTGCATTCCGCAGATGCGGCTCGTAACGCATATGATCTCGCGTATCTTGCGAGCTATGCTCTTGCTCACATTTGCGAATCCAACTCTTGACCAGTCCTAGGTCTGCTCCTGAACTATCCATGCGACGACCGTAAGGAAGAAGCGCGCTGTCTTCTCGGACTTCGTGAACCTCCCCGAAATAACCGACGACACCAGCTAAGACGCCAATGCGCCTTCGGTATATGCTAAGTGTACGGAAGCGAGGATCGTAATGAATCCAACAGCCCAGCACATTTTCCTCCTCTTCTAGTTCTTCTACATCGACCTTCTGTCCATTAGCACGGCATAATGCCTCTGTCACAAGACCGCAGAACAAGCATCTCTCGCGCGCTGCAAGCACATTGCGCAGGACCAGAATGGGACAATGGTTTTGTTGTACGCGCTCTGTCATCAGCCTTGCGATGTCGATATGGCTACATATGTCGCAGAGCCCTCTTGATTGATCTGCGGACGGTTTTTGGATATACCAAGGCTCCGATGCTACGTCTATGGATGATTGGTCTTCCTCGTTTCTCAGATAATACGCTCTAATGTCCTGGAGGCTAGCACCGCCCAAGTCGGCTGGGAATAGGTCTGGATGGAAAATGGATTTATCTTTCGCATACCAAGCATCATGGTGCATTCTGTACAAGTGATAGATGAATTTCAGGAAAGATGTAAAAATCTGCAGGATGATGAAGTGAGACTAAGTGTGCAGTATGCGCGTCGGCAGCTGAACGCTATAATATTCGGCTTTCCCCTCATCGGTTGGAATTGCAGTGGCGGTACGGGCCGGCGTCCTCAATAGCTGACAGGTGCACTTCGTGACATCCAGACTCATGTCTTCTTCGCATCATCCCTTTACGTCCATACCCTAGCATAGATCGCCGGCGCTGGAAAGCGAGGCTGCTGGCGCTGCGCTGCCCAGCACGTACCGTATAGCACATAGTGTGGCAGTGCACGAAGTGCTTAGTCAGTACTAAGGAAGATATCCTCAGTGCTTCTCGTGTACCTGAGGAGGATCACGACACACTAAACACGACATGGAATCATCAGTCTTTAAAGAACCCCATCTTGTATGTTAGCAGCCGACAGAGGAGATGATTCGACATCTTCATGATAGTGTCTTCATACACTCCAACCCTCGTACAATAGTACCTGGGTAGTATTTGAGTCCGACTACACTGGCTTGTGGCAGATCTATGCGAACACGTACTGCGCTCAATCTTGACAGTTAGAATTGTTACAATGTCAGATGTCATAGGTGGCGCTACCTACTCCCGACTCAGCCTGACATGCAGCATCACGTGTCGTCTATTTTTGGACAGCTGTCAGTAGCCTTTTCTACCCACCCGACGATCTTCCATCCTTCGCTGTTACGATCCTATAACCGCGGCACGATTTTACTACATCGGTGTTTCGCCCACGAATGCGTGCGACATTCTATCTCCCAAGTTATACCACGACACGGCCAACACTGCTTGGAGACGGTACTCGAAGCGTCACTCAACAAGGCTGCAGGGTCGAATTATGTCCCCACCTTTAGAAACCGAAGATTACATACCTGTGGAGGACGAGCGCTCTTACGGTGTTGCAGACTTGACGCAAGCAAGTATATATACATAGGTTTGTTCCTCGGCATTCGAGAGACATGAGCTCAACTTCTGTAGCCGTGAGCTTACTCAACCCTGGAACAGAATGCCAAGAGATCCTTTGGATGGCTCAAATGATGCATCAAATCAGTATGATGGTGCAGGAAACGACCAGGCTTCAAGACATTTGGCTTCACGGCCAAAACGAGTATTATGTCTAGGTGAGTAAGGGATAAGATTGAAAATGATGCTTGGTGTCTAAAGTTCAAAAGACGGAGGCGGGATTCGTGGCATCTCCACTCTGCTGATCTCGCAACGAGTCATGGAGCAAATCAGAGATGAATGCGGACTGGAGGAGACTCCCCAACCGTGCAAGTATTTTAACTTGATCGGAGGCACAAGTCCAGGAGGGTAGGTCCAACTCTATGAACCAGAATGGGTCGAAGCTTAATCTCACAGAATCATTGCGATCATGCTTGGACGTCTGGGCATGACTGTCAAGCAGTGTCTCGAAGCATACAAGCGGATGGCAGAGCAAGCCTTTACGCCGAAAGGAAACAAGCTCTCTCTAGCTTTTAGCCTCCCAGCATCACCTCGTGGTGAGTTTGCGGGGAAAGCCCTTGCAGACGCTGTCAAGAAGATCGTGAAAGAACGCACAGGTGATGAAGAAGCCGTCTTTGCTGACAAAACTTGCGTGAAGACGTAAGTGTTAATCTACTATATTCGAACCCTCAGCAACTAAACAACTAATAGTGTCGTCCTCGCCGTCACGGAGGCAGACGTCGGCGCACTACCTACGAAGTTCAAGACATATAGCATCAGCGATGACTTCAAGCACTGCAAGATATGGGAGGTCGCGCGCGCAACCTCTGCAGCAACTACTTTCTTTGAATCGATTTGCATAGGTCATCAAGATATCGAGTTTGTTGATGCACGCTTTGGACACAACAATCCCGGCGAAGTATTACTGAGCGAAGCAGAAGATATGTTCCCAGGCGGCACATACGACTACATTCTAAGCATTGGAACTGGTCTAGGAGACGTGATAACGATCAAAGATAGCCGGCGGTCAATCATCAGAGCACTCAAGAGTATGGCAAGCCATTCCCAATCTGTGCATCGCCGCCTTTCGCATAGGTTGTCGGAAGCCGCCTACTTCCGTTTCGATGTGACGAGAGGCCTGGATGATGTAACGTTGTCCGACTGGAAAGAGTCAAGTACTATATCGGCACATACTAGAAATTATCTCGCAGAGGTAGAAGTTGAGAGGCAGATCAAACGCTGTGCGAGGATCCTTATGCAAGGTTAGAAATGGAATCTTCATAGTCGAACCTGGGTGACACCATGCAACGATACACTTCAGTTTCGGCATGCCCTTTAGCTGATAGATGACCAGATACAGAATCTACCTCACCCCATGAAGATACACAACAAACTTCCGACCATCAAAGTCACGATAGGCGAGAACACCGCGATGTGCGAAATGATCAAGCTGTCGTCCAGACACTTCCCTCATTGTCGGCGATACTGAACTTTATCGCACTTATTCAGCGAGAAGCTCCACGGAGTGCGCTTGTTGACCACATGGTGCAGCATAACATCTCCCCACATATGTACCAGCAGATACTCTCACAGCAGAATATCACACAGCCCATCTTCTTCAGTAACCCTGTGACCATCTTCACAGGAATCACCGGGTATGAGCGCAGCATCTTCAGACAGTGAATCAAGCGCTGCTCCAGTAGCTGATGCTGGACGAGCTCAGAAATAAATTTCGTTTACGGATTAGACAAGGTACACAACAACATGGAAATCAGGAATAACTGAATCTCGCTGCGCCGATGTACGTTCCTGATATAATGACCGCGAATCGGAAAAAGGGTCTTCCCTATGAATACATAGTATCATGAACGACTGGCAGCAAACACTTTGTGGAGGCGCGGAGACTCATCTGATACCTGGCAGCTAATACAGGTTAGCTGAGAGGTCTTGCGACGACAACATGGGCAGATAGCGCTGGAGAGCGTGAGGGAGAAGAGAAAGCATGAGGCTCGGGGGCGGCAGGACATCCGCAGCGTTTGACCAGGAAAGGTGTAGCGTGGGAAGCCTGACGCTAACGCCAGGCACCAGCGCAGACGCGTTTATTATGAACGCGAACCCCTCACCTCGGCCACCTTCATTTTGCCTTCTACACGCAACGTCTGTGTGGACCTGACTCTGAAGTTATGGAGGAACTACCAAATGAACTGCTCCTCCAAATCTTCGGCTACCTGCACACCCCGCCAATCACAGACTTCAGTTCACCATATGTAGCCGATCGCTCGCCAGATCTCCATGTCTTGAGTCGCGTCTCTCGAAGACTTAGAGATGTTGCCGGGCCGCTCGTCTACGAATTCATAGAGAGAGCAGGTGATGTGAACAGTCTGGCCTATCGTCAGCTACCACAAACCCTGCTCGACAATATGGAGCTGTGCCGGTACATTAAGAGTATAAGACTGAAGATGGAGGACGGCTTTGAAGCTGGTGACTTCTGGGCGGGCCACGTCATGATTTCGGGAAACGAGAGCGGGGACGAGGAGCGAGTGGACTACAATGAAAGACACTGTCGCTATCAAAAGCGACGTCCGTGTGACGCACAAGAAAGCGATGAAAAGGGAGGTGATGAAGAAGTGGAACAACTGCCAACTGATACCCCAGAGCACTACAAATGGCTTGCCAAGCTCATCTCAGCCATGGACAATGATCAAGAACATGCTGACGATCAAGACCTTCTTCAGCGAGCCATCCTTGGTGAAGATGTACTACTTACACCATGTATCCTCTCTGCACCTAATCTGGAGCGCCTCTGGATCCGCTTACCCAAATTACAGTTGGACTGGAATTACACAAGCTTCTTGCTGAACAGCCTCTCCTATAGTGCTCACACGGGTGGGTTTGAAAAGCTCAAAGTCCTTCATCTTGACGTGTACCAAAGTGGCCTCGAATGGTCAGTCAGCCAAGTGCTGCCTTTGTTTCGTCTTCCTAATCTGGTCGATCTCACGCTTGGGAATTGCGGTAGCGTGAGCTTTGACATCGACTACAATATCAGGTCTAGGGGTTGGGATGACTATGAGTACCATCATGAGTTCGAGGCGGTGTATTGTGAAATTGGCGTCCATAAAGATACCGAGCCAGATAAGAACGACGCGGCGTTCATGGGAGAGTCCTGGATATGGCCTCTTCGCACGTCTTCGATCACTAGGCTATCGCTACTATCTCCGCGTTTTAGTGGATCAGTAATAGCAAACATGCTACTTGCATGCAGAGTAATCACTGAGTTCGAAGTGGTAATGCCCTACAAGCATGCACCTTTTGACATCACGTTCTGGCAGGACGTTGGTACAGCCCTTCTTGGACATAGCGATACTCTTGCCAAGTTGTCACTTGGTGATCAACTAGCAAACAGCAAGCGTTCTCGTCTGTGCAGTCCAGGCGTGTTTCGCATCGGCTCCTTATTGACCTCGCTCAAGTTCTTACGAGTCAATCCGTGCACCATTCTCGGCTACAACGAAGTACGTCCGTATACAAGGGATACGTCTTTTGTTCTATTTGACGCTCTTCCAGACACAATTGAACACTTGTGGCTTGACCTATCCTGCAGTCCATTCAGGATATATCTCGACCCATCCTTCAGAGGTCTGTTTGAAGCTCGTCGAAACGGCCGATTTCCTCATCTGAGAAGTATTCATGTGTACTGGTATAAGAAGGTGTATGCTGCTTTCGAACGTGTAACCAGCTACCTCAAACACCTGTTGGAAATCCGTCAGGACGCGTCGGTGCATGTACCCGATATTAGCTTCGATATCTCATTGCGAGTGAATTGTTGTACTGCGGGTAAGCCATGACCGAACAAGCCTTGACATGGAAGACACGATGCTAATCAGATTCAGAATTTGCGAAGAAGTGCCTAGAAGAGTTAACTGACGTTGAGAAATACCGGTACACGCCCCCACTGGACAACTGTCACAGATATGACGTGGATCACAAGGATGGTCGGCGATATTATATTGAAGGTTCTACGTGCGAGATGTCTCCCAGAACACCAGAAGAGATACAAGACGACTTAGATCACGGTTACTGGGGAAGTACGTACTCTAGTTAATAGGCGTAGCGTCAGATGGAATCAAAAGCAGAATATGACTCGGTATTTATTATAATCATTACCATGCGAGTCCACCCTCTAAAATCCGACTACAACGGACACAAGACCAACGACAGCCAACAGACCCCAAGAAACGCTCATGCCCATGGCACCGCTTTCAACAACCTCCGGTGTACCGACTTCTTTCACGTCATCGATTTTGCAGACGGTTTTGCATTTCTTCTCCGACCTCTTTCTTCCAAACAAACTCGTCGTATCTCTCTTATCCTCCTGAGGCTTACCAGTGTACGGTCCACTGGTATTGAACGTCATTTCGATCCACTGAATATGGAACTCGGCATTATCGCCCACTTCCATATCGCCACTCCACTCTCCACCATCGCTCCACATGTTCAGGACCATGAAACTCTGCTCGCGGGGTACAGAGTATGTGTTGGCGGCGACTTGCTTCTGGTTGAGGTACCAGTAGCTGTTCTTGGGCAGCCAGTCAATACGATGTGTTTGCCAGTCGTCCCAACGTGGAAGATCGGTAGGGCCCACAGAAGCGGCAGCCACTTCATTGCCGTCCTTGCCTACTGAGGGCTGGTTTGTGTAGCGGATCTGGTCTTTGGGGTCGTCGGTCAGGATCTCGATATCGGATTCGTTGTCGTCGTCGTAGAAGGTGAAGAATCCTGCTACGGCTCCCTTGGCTCCTTGAACACGACCGTACATGCGCATGGAGACGTGCATGAGGTTTTTTTGCTCGTTCTCAATCTCGCCAGATGTCTGGTAGTCGTCCATGCGCGACGTGCGGAGTGCGAGGTAGGACGTCGAGTCCTCTTGGCCTAGGAAGATGTTTGCGAAGGAGTTGTTCATTGGTGTGGGGAAGTCTTCGGTGGACGGTTTGCTCCAGTTCTGGATCCCCCAGTCGTAGTTCCACGCATCGCTGTTGAAGAGATCCGGCTGCCATGTCGACGCCAAGCCCGCGTTGTCTGTATCGTTGAGTAGCGGCGGCGATTCGCTCATCGCGCCCGGGAGGTTTCGGAAGTCGTAGAATCGGTAATACTGGAAGGACTCTGGTGTATTTGAGTCTTTGCCGGATTGCACGACATAGCAATCACAGTCTGCATTGTTGTCTTTCGGTGTTTCGCTCATAGAGCTAGTGTACGGATTCGCAGCGAGTGCAGGTTGGGCGAGTAGTGCCGTGAGAGGCAGGAGCAAGGCTCCTAGAGGTGGAAGGCGAGACATGGTAATCGATCTGCTTTGAGAGTCGTATTCGTAGTGACAGTATCCGAATAATTAGGTAACAAGGATGTGTAGAATGAAGACGGGTGATCGACAGCTAGTAAAAGGTGAATAGAAGAGCGAACGAATGTCACCTAGCCATCAACAATTACAAGAGACAAGGAAAGAAAACTGCGCTCAATGATGCTGCAACAAGCTCGATGATGTAAAGTGGTGATACCAAAAGTTCAGCGCAAACGCGGGTCAGTAGACTCATATACTAAAACGTGCAGTGACGCCCACCCGCTACTCCGCTTACACGGCACCAACACCAGTCCAGTCTCGAACGCCGCCCGCAAGTCGTGCTTTTTGTTTGCGGAGCTTGTCCTAGCTACATTCGCTAAGGTGTGTCTAAGCCAGAAACGCGCGCGCGCTGGAACTGAAGTAAGGCAGGGCACTAAGGCAGGTAAGCTGGAGTAGCCACAGGAAAAGATGGCGGATACGAAACGCAGACACATCACATCACACCAGCGGCGCACTTTGTTTCTGCACTCAGCCACACTACATCTGGACTTTTATAACTCATGACAGGGGTTGTAAGGTTTTCATAGGGTCTGCGCAAGTGTAAGGTTGCGATCCACCCCTGGTTTAGGCTGCTTTTGGGGGGGTTTCGGTAGCGTCGATGTGCCACCGGGAGTTTCGGCGAAGGCGCCAAGGTGGCTTGACTCTCCGAGTGGTTCGATGTTTCCTCTCTGTCAAGGAAGATGTTGTAATATTTGTTAATAAAACAAAGTCCTTCTTGCCCCGTGAGACCAAATGAGCATTCCGAGCTATTATTCATTACATAGAGAGATGACAGTGATGATGATGGCGATGTTGTTGTTGTTGTTGTTGTTGTAAGATTGTAAAGCGGCGCAGACGGGTCATTAGGAAATGACAGGCATCTTCGGGTCACCAGCCACATCGGCCCACATGGGCCGGCGCCAACCAATGCAACTAAGTCCCAAAATAGCCCTGATTCAATACCCTCAAATGCCGCGCCAACGCCAGATTCGTCCGTATGAGACGACCATACGAGCACGTTTCCACCCGTCTAGCAGACGTGGAGTTTGTCATGCTCTCGTATCATTCATACTGGCGCGGGGTCTGGAGGTCTTGAGCATGTTGGTCACCTTGGCAAAAGAGATGATGAGGGGTAGGTTTGATTGAGGTGTGTATAACGCTTTTGACGCGAGGTTCTGGTGTGGCTAAAGGGGTTGTAGTATTGACGACCATGTTACAATCGATGAATTTACCGGTCAGCCCCCTGAGCATCTCCCGGGCTTGTATAGACAAGCATTGCTTCTGCATGCGAAGTGGTGCGCCACAAATTGGCAGCTGAAGGACCCCTTCCGAGTCATCAAACTGCTCACAAGGTAACTAATGGCTCACATTCACAGCCTGCAGCGTATCCAGACTCATCTTCTGGCTTTCTTCCATATCAAGGGTGCAAAGCTAAGTCAAGATGTGTAATTGATGTTTTGACAGCACGTATTGACCGACCGAGTCAACTTTCGCTGAGCGTGTTCCGCGATGACAATTCTTGGGTACAAAGGATCAGGACGGTGCCTGACTGCCGCCCAGCCCACCCAACCTCAGGTATACTGACAAAACCTCGGCTGTCATTGCGAATCCGCTACCTACCAAGCAACTGCTATTCACCCGGCAAGCATTTCCTCATATTTCAGCCTCGCAAGTTCTCCAAGTGGATCGTTCTCGTCCTCCCAGTCGCTGTACTCAAGGAATTCCTCCTGCCTCTCAACAAAACGAGCATTCTTTCAATCCTGAGGGATCGTAGAAATCGGTTTTGATCTCGCAACAAGTGCGAAGTCTCTGCAGCCAGGAAGTCCGTTTGGCGTCTGCCCATATTGGCCATGGCCTTTGATATCCTACAGCGAAAAAGCAGTTGCTTCAAGTACAAACCTTTCTGTCGCCAAATACACATTGTCACTTCAAATGTAGCCATTTCTACGGCCTTATCGCGAAAGAAAAAAAAATCTCTTCTGGCTCTGGGAAGCTCACTCACTCCATTCACCTCTCTGTTCACGTTCAGCTCCCAAAGTTTTGACGGGCGCTTGAAACTTCGCAAAACCTAAGAAGAAGTAACCCAAACCCCCAGGTATTGGCCAAACTACTCTAAAAGTTCAGGTCAGGTACATTGGCCTTGATCGCTTGATTCATGATTCGCAATTCGTGACCAACTCAACCTCAAACTACCACTTTCACGCATACCCACAACGACCCAAAAAAAAAAGTAGTCAAAAACATACAACAGCGGGGATTCGCTAGTGGTCACCCACCTAACTACTAATCCGCCGGTACACTGCTTGTATATGGCTGAGCGGACGGGAAGCCTAATTTTCAGTGTCCTATGGTCGTATGTACTCAGTTGTACCGACCCGTGAGATATATTCTGACTAGTTGCCTGTTTCTCGACGCAGGGGTGCGTCCCGGTTATTCTGAACTCTCTGATGCTACGGAATTCAGGGGCAAGAGAAAAGACCCTCAAGAACGGATGTATCGAGTTTAGCGGTCTTTGTTTTCAACACACGCAAGGCCGTACCCGTCATTGTATTGAGACATTGGATGCTGAGAAGGTGAGTATTGGTCCATGGGTACAGCGGAAGGTCGTCAACGGTGCGCAGTGTCCAGTCACAGTAACACGGGCACAGTTTCCTTGCCATTGTCTTTCGTGTGGATATTCTTCAATTTCAACTTACATAAAAGGAAACGTCTTTACACTCGCATCGGCGTGGAGCTAGCTACAAATCACATCACATCAACACCAGCACACAGCACAAATCGAACTTTCAACCCCAATAGATTGATCGAACGCAAATCCAAGCCCGTTGAGGGACTACCCACGGATCAACACAAAGCTCTTCGTCTAAGAAAATAAGAAAAAAGAACAACCAACGCTAGCCACCCATTGTTGAAGACAACATATGCCACCCCCAGATCGCTCAAACTACTTTTTGCGCCGCTGCTGCTGCTGGCACTTCCTTGTTGTCATGGCCATTCTGCAACGATTCACTCGCCTCCTGAATCGTCGGTACGGATTCAGACGGAACGACAAGCGATGTGCCATTGACAGCGCCATTGGTGGTAGAATCCTGATTTGGATCCTGGAGTCCTTGGCGGACTTTGAGAACGCTGTCGACAATGACGGCGTCGATGCCTTCGTTTCGTTGGAGCTAATTGCACTGTTAGTCAATGTTGCAAAGGAGTTTACAATGGCGTCGTGTGGAGGTCATGACTTACCAGAACGTTCTTTGGGTCGTTATTTAGCATGCCATATGAGACACATACTAAACCGCTTTCCTTTACCACCTTGACCAGTCTTGGGCACATGACCAGAGGCGTCGCGGCGCTGACTACGCCCAGCAGGTTCCATCGACTAGCGAATCGGATGGCTTCTTGCAAACTGGCTGCTCGCACGTCTCCGACGGGCGAGGTACCGGCATCGGTAAGGAACAGCACTGGAATCGAAGGTTGCTTGAATGAAAGCATCAGGCAGATGTCCGGATTGAAAGACGAGAAGATGATGTTTCGCTTGCCCATCTTGTCGTACACTTTCTCCAACACGGTGTCGACAAAGGAATTCAGCTCGACAGCATACTGATCCATCTCCTCTTCTTCAGACTCATGAAGCATGGGGTACTTCATTTCGACGTTGAAACCAACCGATTCAGGCAGCTCATCGAACATGCGCTCTAGAGTCGTGAAGGAAGACTGAATAGAATTACCACGACTGTTGCCCTTGAAACCCTTCTTCTTGAAATCGCGGGTGTACTTCATACGCTCAGTGAGCTCGTTTTGGCGATCTGTATGAATGTTGCGCTGCTTCGAGTTGTCGACCGAGTACGATCGAAGTCTCCGTGTGTTAGGGCGGTCATCCGTGCCATTCGTACCGTTGGGAACTGGGACCGTTTCTGGTGAACCGGCGCGAGAAGATCGTGGCTTTTGGCCCTCGCCAATGTGAAGGAATTGATCCAGTGTGAGTGTGTGTACAGGTGCGTCGATACCAGTCTCGCTGACGAGGAAATCGTGGTAGATGACCGGCACGTGGTCCTTTGTCAACTGAACGTCAAACTCTACGTATTCCGCACCCAAATTTGCAGCAGAGATGAACGACTGTATTGTGTTCTCTCCGAGTTGCAGTGACGTACGTGAGGCTGTGTTCTTTCCCAGACCGCGGTGGCCAATGACCATGGTTGTAGCTGCCATCTTCTTCCAGTAGGTGTGCTGCTCTGTGACCGACATAGCTGGGTGGTGGAAGGGCGTAATGATCAGGAAGTTGAAATTAACAGTGCCGATCACGTCCAACGTGGAGGCCGCCACGATCGGTACCTTCATGTCTCCCTGGAGTGATATACGCTTGGATCCAATACTGGTCTTGATAGTTGACAGCAATGCCACTGCCCGTCCCACAACACGCTCTTGATTGCCGGCGTATGTCGGGATGATGTCGAACAACAGCTTGACCTTGGTAACATCGCTAGTCATAAAAGTTATAGGCTCAGTCGCGATATTCTCCTGGATGGGCAAGTCGATCACCGTAGGTTCTCCAGTAGCACCAGATGCGTTCACAACCACTGACAAAGCAGTGTCAAGTTGCGTCGCATGCGCATCAGCAAGGGGAATGTCATCCAGCTTTACCGCAGGCGTGTCCTTCCTAATGTCCATAGACCCGAGGCTGACGAGAACCATGGTTTCTTTAGTCAAATAACGATGGCCAAAAGTCTTGACAGGTTCGGGGGCCTTCTGCATAGCGGTGTTGTTGTCTCGGTTCAGGTTCTTGGATCTTCGCTCATCAAGTGAAGATTGAGTAGGCGACCCAGCTCGGGCGATACGTGTATCCGTAGGCGCAACGAGATGCGATTCTGTGGTGGGCGTAAGTTCTGCTAGCCTTGCTGCTATCTCCATGTGACCACGGAGCGCGGCATGCTCCTTTGCTGTCCAACCAGAGTTGTCACACTTTTGCAAGTCAGCTCCGGCAGCAGCCAAAATCTCGACCATGGAAAGATGGTCGTCAACGCAAGCGATGAACAATGGTGTCCAAGCAAACGTCTTCTCGGTCACGTCCACTTCCGCCTTGTTCTTGCTGGATCCTTTCAGTAGGACTTGGGCGCACTTGTCATACCCATAGCGTGCTGCCATATGTAATGCGGTCTCACCACCTTCATCCTGATAGTTGACGTCCACACCAGCTTCGACTAAGAGCTTGACGATCTCTACGAAATTCGCCTGAGTCGCTAAAGTCAAAGCTGCACCTGATCGCGCAATGGCTTTCCGACATGCTAGTCGCTCTTCTGTGGCACCACGCCAGTTTTCTGCTTCAAGTAGAGCTTTGGTGGTAAGGGGATGTCCGCCCATGACGCTAAGATGTAGAGGAGCGTTGCCCTCTGCATCCTGCCAGTAGTCGGAGTCAATACCTTGAGCGACATCGAACTGGCCCCAGTCTTGCATGTGCTTCATGACGACCTGGCAAATGACTACGAAGCCATACTGTGCAGCATAATGGAGCGGGAACCTGCCATACGAGTCACGAGACTGGAGCGCGATGCGCTGCTCAGCACGAAGTTGGTCGAGTAGATAGATGAGTAGTTGCACCGATTCGTCATTCTCGCTGAGTAGCTGCGTTGACTCTTCTTCGGTGGTAGTACAAGGACGAGGCTGGCGATTGGGATCCGTAGCAGGTACTATGAAGTTCCGTGTTTCACTCGAGCTCTGGAGGAGAGTTCCGTCAGCTCCAAAAGTGTCGCCAGTCTTTGAACGACCAATGTTGATGACAAGTCGGTGGATACAGTTGCGCTTGTTGATATCGTCTTCCTCCTCTAGTGAGATAATATCTTGCAGCAGCCTCTCAATACAGGACTTTGCTCGACACGAGATAGCGCGCTGCAAGAAGTTCAAGAGCACTTGCTGAACCGAGGAACTAGATACACCGTTACTTTTGACGACTTCTGCGAGTTGCTCATTGAGATCGTTGACCTTGTCAGCACGGATAGCCGTGTCCACAGCGTCCAAAAGGCCCGAAGGAAGGTGTAGCGAGCGACCTGGGACTCTGCCCAAGGAAGCAGCAGAATGTGTAGAGCCTGTATCGTCGAATGTCTTGATGTCGCTCAGTCCCGATAGCCACTCATTGACCGCCTTCATATCCTGGTTCAAAGGCAAGTTGTGCGCAAAGGGCTTCGGATTGACTTTTGACGCTAGGTAGCGTTCCTGAAGGCAAACAGTCTCGATTTTCTTGTCAAGCTTCTTCGTGATTTTGATGAACCCCCGGCGATTCACTTCTCCATACCATTGAAGCTTCCGCATTGATCCACGCAATTCAAGCAGCGCGCCCATGAGATCTTGCGCTTCGTCCTTATCGATACCCTCGGGTAATTGTGCGACTCGTCCATAGCGGCCATGCAGAAGTCGTAACCGTCGCGCGTTCTCGGCATATTTGCGGTTGTAGAAGTTATCGACGTCTTCGAGGTTACGATCGAGCGAGAAGAAGAACTCTGGGTTTGTATGTCAGCCACGTGTTCGTCGAATTTGGTAATCATGGACATCATTGGCACGCGCTCGCTCATGGCTGTGCTAGCATACCACAGAGCTTTGTGGAGGCGACGAGACCATGGGGGCACAACATTCAATACGGACTCTGGTAGGAGATGTGATAAACATACCAGCAAGATCCGGAGCGGAGCCATCCTTGGAAGCTTCAGCAGCATTCTTGATAAGCTTCTTGAGGCCTTTATAGTTGATGTAGTTCGCCGCCCATTCCGGGACCTGATTACGGGGTAGATTATGTCCAAACTTCATCTTGGAGGCAGAATGATAGTAGGTGGAAATCTATGGCCGGATCGAGCTCGATACTGAGCTTGGAGCGTAGCTCTAATGCGTATGGAGGACTAGCTTTGCGCAGGCGGGGGTGGGCAAAAGCAAGGATATGTAACGGTAGGTATTGAATGATCGGCAGGGCAAGAGCCAAAGCGTAAATTCCATGCGACCTGCGCAATCAACGCGTTAATGTTGAATCTTTAGGGTGTGCTCGAGGCGTCCATTCTCATTGGATGAGACAGAGCTCGACAAAACCGCGCCTGCAACATGGTTAAATGGACTGTCAAAAGTAGGGAAAGCCGCAGCTGAAGGCTGGGGGAAGTACACTGGAGCGGCGGATCGCTGGTCAGTGTTATCGCGTGGTGCTGGAGGCGTGAGGGAAAGACGTTGAGATGAGAGAGACGTGGTTGGTGCTCGCGAAATGACGTATGGCGGCAGAGCGCGCTTTGTACTATCACTCCCGCAAGCGTAAGCAGAGGCTCGTCTGCTTTATACTGCAAGCTGCTGCAAAACTTGTGATGCTTCGGTACGATGGTGGATCCTTGCCCCATTTATCGCATTCGACTGCAGCCCGCTTGAGCGCCTCCTGCGTCGGCGGATCACGGCGGTGTATGTTTGTCAGCTTGACTCGCGACGGACATGCGTTCAGAAAAGCCTGTTCTTGGCGCTGCAATTCGGTGTCATAAAGCAACTTGTGCGAGCCCCAAGCGCAACACAACTCAACACTGCGCTGGTGACCATCGTGAGATTTGAGCTCGGGCACACCGATACGGGCAACAAGGCACGCGACTGCCTTCCAAAGCGGGATGCATGTCATCCGTGGTGCCTACGGGGGCACGGTAGCTTAGCCGGTCACACCGCATCAAGGACTGATTAACGTGGATGGTGGGGTTGCATTGATACTGGCTATGGGTTTCCCGCGCGATTAATACTCATGGCACCTACACGGCACCGTTCATGCGTCCTGCTGCAGCTTTCTCCGCTCTGGGGAACCTGGCTTCTCCATATTTCGCCTGGGCGATTGGACCCTTCCCGCTAGTCCACCCATCGAGTCCGTGGGCGCTGGAACGTGCAAGATAAGGACCGAAGCAGCAGGCCTAGGCCTGCTCGGGAGAAGACTCTGAAGTATCAGGTGCTTTACGAGAAAAAGAAGGCATTGCCTTCGTTGTCCTTTCGCTGCACCTTTGACAGGTCCTTGTCTGGTGCATACTCTGTCCACGTGCTCGCGGGGAAGATATGCTTGTTGCGCTCGTACCAACGCCTGTCAACGACTTTGGTTATTGCTGGGTCTTCACTGAAGCCCTCAAGCTCCTCATCTGGTATACTAGACTCTTTGCTCTTCTTCTTAGAGGGCTGAGCAAGTGGGTCGTATGTAGCAGGATCTACTTCGGCGTCGGCATCGGACGTGCTAGGAGTGGCTTTGGTGGGTTGTGCTGAGTAGTCGAAGATCGGGCCATCGAAGCCAGTGACCCTGTTAAACAAGAAGTGGTAGATTTCGTAGTGCTGGCGTCAATGTTAGTATACAAAAAGAGGCACTTCTGAATATGATGCTTACATGCGGTAATATGACTTCACCTCTGACAAGCATCAAGTCATCTACGCTGACCCTAGCCCAATCTCTTCGACTCTTGTCTCCTCCCACGCCTAGCTCTGCACCCACTTTTCGGGCTTTGTCTAGAAACAACCATATCTGCTCGCCCTTCTTTATCCTGCATCTTCCACCTGGAACATTGGTCCCATCATAGAAGACAAAAGGTATCACTACTTCGGTCGCCTTTACGGAGTCGCGCATGAGTATAAAGTCTTGCCGTGCCTGTTCTGCTTGCTGGGCTTCGCGTTGGAGAGCTGTCTTGGTCATGACACGGGGCTTGAGACCGATGCTCGAGTTTGCGCCGAGCTTCTTCTTGAACACCTTCACTTCAGCTTCTGGGGCAGATGTTTCGGCGGGGGTGCTTTCGCGAGGGGTAGAAGTCTTCGAAGCATTGGATTCGGTGTCTTCGTCTTCGTCTATGCCGAATGAGAGCTTGCCTTTACCAGCTACTTTGCGCTTCTTCTTGAAAACGGGCTTTGGCGTCGATGCCCTATACTTTGCAAATTAGTGAACATCCAATGAGCGTGTTCGCAAATTCGTACCCTTCGGCGGGCGTGTTTTCGCCTGAGTTGATTGCAGCGTCACCTCGTTCCTTCCTATCGAGCGCCTCGGCGCGTCGCTTGCGGTAATCATTCAGGTTGACGAGCCCGACAGTTTGCGCCTTAAGCAAATCCTCGGCTGTCGCAGCCTGGGATGTGAAGCGCGCGTTGCCAGACGTATCTGGGCGATCGCCGGAACTCGAAGCAAATCTGTCCATATTCGTAGAATGATGTGGGTTGGAGGATATGCGGTTGCTAGAAACTTGACGATCATTCCGCGCCAAGCCCCGGTCGTGGCTCGTCCCGTGATTGCGTGAACGCGACGCGATCAACGGGAAGGAACATTCGCCCCCACTCCGATAACAATCTCGCCCCAGCGCTCTAAGCCCTTGCCGGACTACACACGACATGCACAGCGATGCCGCGCATTGTACAGGACTCAGATGAAGAGCTGGACGACGATCTCGAGGGCGACCTTGTGCCACCCAAACAACCAGACGCGTCCACGCAGCCACCCAGTAATGAGACCCACGGCACAGGATCCACTGGTAGGGTCGACACCATGAACCTGTAACCCGAGTTAAAAACGCTGATGTGTAACCAGAATCGCTGAAGAGGGCTATTGAAAAGGCGCACCGCGAGTATCTTCAATCGCAGCCCAGCCAGGATGAGCCTCAGTCCTCAGTATCCTTGCCTGAGCATCCAACTAAGAAGAGAAAGACCGCAGATGATCCTAGCCCGCTCAAGCCGTCGATTGATGCATCGTCCAAAAAGAGAGGACCAATCACCTATAGCAAGGCTCCTAAATCTATCTTTGGTAGCTCTCCAGCAATCATCGCTCCACTGGACGACAAGGAAGGCACAAGCCTTGCTAATTGGATGCCGGACAGCACTATGCGCGGATACTGGATGAACCACGAACCAGCCATGTTTAGTGAGCATGAGCCTTCGAGCACTGTCCCCAACGCTACAATGACCCAGCAACATGTTTTGGAAGTTGTTAATGCTCCGATGATGATGGGCCAAGAGATCGATACTGAAGGTCGTCATTGGGTCCCACCGCCCGAACCATCGATACCTTGGTCAGACCTCATGAAGTTCACACCTGCAGAGGCTGCTGATCAGACTGAGTTATCAGAACGTGACCTACCTCCGCTCGATCTTTCATTAGCCACCCCGATTCGGACGACGCAGGGAGGCTATGAATACTCTGCGTCCCAACGTAGCAGGCGTGGGTCTTCCGTCCGTCTGAAAAACAGTCCCTTGAAGAACGAAGTTCCGCACACCGACTCCAACATAACTTCGGCTCTTGATTTACCCTCTACTGCATCACCAAGGACCCAGAAGAGCAGTTATGGAGAAGCAAAGGAGACGCCTCGTCGTTCAAAGTCACAACTAGTACCTAAGGATCAACCTGACGACGACCTTGCCGCTATCGGGCTCCCCAAGGAGCAATACAAACCACGCCCCAGTCGCTCAAGATCACTCAAGGTCGAAGAGGAGGGACCTATTGACTACTCTGTCCGACCCGAGAAAGTCAAAAAGGTTAGTAGACGGCGGCAGACAACAGCTGCTGTCGATGCCAGTAATATCAAAACACCTGAAAAGGTACGACAGATTTGCGACATGGGCTTCACACCTACGACGACCTCTGGGGCTCTGAAGCGAAACAACGGTGACGTCATACAGACCATAGATTGGCTAGTCACTAACAATGTTGGCCATGATGAGCTTGCACCACCAAGTCCACCTAAAAACAAGCCGATCACGAACAAGAGTGAGGAGAAACCGGCGATGGACTCCGAGGCTATTCAAGATATTATGCGCGATCTGAACGAGTATCGCAGAGACGACACCCAGGATGCCGTGCAAGACACGGTCCACGTTGCGGTGGCGAACGGTACTACTATGCATACGGAAACCGCGGATGATATAGCAAGACCTACGGTGACCGAACTGCGTTCCCCGACAAAAGTACAAGTGGTGATACCTAAAAAGTCTCCAGTTGCCACTTCCAAGCAACCCGCAAGTTCAGCCACAACATCGAAGAAGAAGGCGAAGCGTAGGAAAACCATGTCGGATCAGCCTGAGAGTGAACAGGCCGCAGCAGATGATACTGTGCCTGAAGCCATACCCGCGAAGAAGACGCGTGGTCGACCCAAGAAAATTGCACCTACTGTTCCGCCCCAGGAGCCCAATTTAGAACCAATGGAGCAGACCACGGAGATGGAACAACACGAAGAAGCTGTGCAAACCACCGAGCCTGAAGCACTTCCGAAAATAGCACAGCAAAGTTCAGGAGCCGCATCGAAGGAGAGGAAGCAGTCAAATTCGGCAGATACCCCAGAGACAATGACTGCCAATGATCCCATCCTACCATCGAAAGCCTCCCCGGCTGCAACATCAGCAACCCCAGAACCCAAAACAAAACCTACAACCGCATCGCCAGCCACTACAGGCAAGGTGCCATACCGTGTAGGACTGAGCAAACGCGCGAGAATTGCTCCTTTGTTGCGCATTGTGACGAAATGATAGGGCAGTGCTTACTTCTCCTGTCACAAAGACATATAGATTATGACGTTACACTTAGCATCTAGCTATGTACCTGAACCTAATGATACCCACTTTTACTTGGCCTTACCTTCAATTTCCACCTCTTCGTGAACGTCGTATACAAGGACCAGCTGAAGTTTTTCTAGTGGCTCGCCTGCCTTAGCCGAACCACAACTCAACGTCTGAGCAAACTAGAGGACGCAGCTATTTGGTCTCGACGTTCTGGCGCCAAAGCGTATCGGCTATCCACTTTGTTGCATCTTCGTGGCGCTCGATCAATGCAAGACAACAGACTGCTGTTTGCTCTATCTACTGGTATCCTTACCTTGACGAAATTTTGAACCACTAAACATCGCATTGCATATGCGATTTGCTTGCCGGAGGTTCATTGCCGCCGGCGGCATTATCGATTATCGAGAGCGGAAGCCAGCGCTAGCTTGGACTTGGCGGTGGAAATGAAGGCTCTCAGGGGCCTTCCAACACCGAATCGCAACCAGCGGACGATAGCCGGGGCTTTACCAATCCTGCACCCCTGAGCTTGGCGTCGGGCGTTCGTCCTTAGAGCTGGGAAAATGTGACTCGGAGTATCGTGCTGCGAGCGGCGCGCATGACGATGTGACCGTTACTGGCGCGCTGTCGCATACCGGTAGTCCCAATACCACGGGTGTCGCAACAACGGCTGACAGAATAGACATGGCGAACGATGATTTGAGTACCAGGAAACGGTAACAACGATGTGGCATTCGAATCGCGACTAACATGCAACGATCACCAACTTCATCGATACTGGTGATTGCCCTTCTGCAGAGTCCTTCAACCACATTACTGGATTCGGTGCCGACGAAGCCGAAAGCGAAACGGCCTCTGATTCCTACGCGAGACGCCATCGAACGCCACATCAAGCCATCAACGTGAAAACCACGATGTTTTTGTGACGCCAAGTATCCCCGCTAGCCTGTTGTTGAGATAGGCCCCGCCGGCGATCATCCCACTTCAGTGTATCCGCGACGGGAGCTGGTCAGAACCAGCATCGCGTCTCATATATTTAGACCCCGGCACCTTATTAGCTTGGTCATGACAGGAACAGGTCGGCTTCAGGCTCTGTTGTGCCTCTTCGAGATCGACATGATTATGGGGTTTGGCACCTCACAAGCTTCCCAAGGCTGTAGGGCTACCAAGACGTGCAATCACGATAAAGACATGAGAGTTTGCCGTATCACCTTACAGTGGCTTACACTAGGCGCCTTACCAATCTTCTCAGTACCATGCCGTCTCCACTGTCCCTTCGTATCCCACGAAAGTTTCCCAGGGCCGCGCTCTTGGCTGCTGATAATAGTGTGCTGACTTCTTTCAGTTAGTGGGGCTCCACTCCTCGCAGCTACGCCACGAGTCGTCGCCCTTGGAGGTGCGTCTACAGGATTCGTTGTTATAAGTATATCGGATTTCTTCTCTTTGCGTTCTTTACTCGTCTTGCTCGTCTTTGCACGCATAGCGACCGTCACTCGTTTACTCCTAACTAATTCTAATTGACTTATTGTCAACCACACTCGCTTTACACTTTTGCAACCTAACCCGAATACTACGACCATACTAGGACTGTAAAACTTAATTCGCTAAGATGCGTTTCACTCAAGTCGCTGCTGCCTCTTTGGTAGCACCGCTCGTTGCCGCTCATGGCATGGAGGGCATGCCAAGGATCGTTGGTATGCCTAGGCAGTTGAGGGCCGGCAACCCTTTTGCTGGTTTCAAAGACCATCATATTGCTCACCCAGATCCCATCATCCGCCCCCGACAGTCTGCTGACGGACGCTGTGGTCCTGATGGCGGCAACCAAAAGTGTGCGGACAACGAGTGCTGCTCAAGCGCCGGATACTGTGGTACTACCAAGGAACACTGCCAAGCGCCTGACTGCTTGTTCAACTTTGGACCTGCATGCGGTATAACACGTTCTTTTCCATCTATTGTGATCAGCTTACTCATGTCAGTGCAGATGCCAACAAGACTCCTGCTGGAGCAAGCACCCGCAATGATGTTCGCCAGAAGCTAGGATCCATTCCTTACGGCGGTGGTGGTATCTACGTCTGCAACAACCCTGGAACCGTCGCCATTACATACGACGATGGTCCATACATCTACACTGAGGGCGTTATGGCTCAATTTGAAGCACGTGGTGCTCATGCCACATTCTTCATCACCGGTAACAACATCGGAAAGGGTGCCATTGATGAGAACTGGGCTGGTGTCATCAAGAAGATGTACGACAACGGCCATCAGGTCGCTTCTCACACTTGGTCCCACCAGGACCTTAGCCTCATCACCAAAGAGGAGGTTTACGACCAGATGGTCAAGAACGAAATGGCCATCCGTAACATCATCGGCAAATACCCTACCTACATGCGCCCACCTTACTCTTCCTGCGATGCTGAGTGCCAGGAAGTCATGTCTGATCTTGGCTACGTCGTTTCCTACTTCGATCTCGACACCGACGACTACAACAACTTGACTCCGGAGAAGATCCAGGTCGCCAAGGACAACTTCAAGAACGGCATCGATACCCGCAACAGCGGAGACCCATACGACGGTGACAGACTCGTTATCGGCCACGACATCCACCAACTGACCGCCGAGGACCTCACTGCATACATGCTTGACTACCTCTACGCCCAAGGCCTCAAGGCTGTTACCATGGGCGAGTGCCTCCAAGACCCCAAGGAGAACTGGTACCGCGACTCTACCCCCGCTCCCCCCAGCACTTCCTCTACTCGCACCTCTTCAGCCGTCCCTACTCCCACCGGCCCTACCTCCAAGGACGGCATGTGCGGCTCAACTGGTGGCTCACAGTCCTGCGTCGGCTGGGTCGGTATTGACGGTCTCCTTGGCGAGTGCTGCTCTCAATACGGATACTGTGGAAACACCGCCGACCACTGCCAAACTGGCTGCCAAGCCGGTTTCGGAAAGTGTGGTGCCCAGCCCAGTGCCTCTCCCTCCGCCTCTGCCTCCGTTTCTGCTAGCGTCACTGGTCCTGTGCCTACCCCTACTGGCCCTTCTACCACCGATGGATCTTGCGGTGCTGCAAACGGCGGCATGACCTGCATTGGCTTCAACGGCCCCGCTGGTCTTAGCGAGTGCTGCTCCGAGTACGGATACTGCGGTAACACTGACATCTACTGCGGAACAGGTTGCCAGGCTGGCTTCGGAAAGTGCGGTGCTCAGGATGTTAGCAGCGCTTCTTCTTCTGTAGTCGCTAGCTCTACCCCAGCTCCGTCTTCCTCGGCTGATGTCAGCAAGGACACTGTCTCTTCTTCCACTGTCTTGAGCTCTTCCGCTACTGCTTCATCCGATGCTAGCACCACTATCGATGCTAGCTCTAGCGCCAGCCAAGTCTCCTCCGCACCCTCTGCTACCCCTACCACTTCTGGCGAGAAGTCCCGCGACGGCTCTTGCGGCGGTGACAAGGGATACACATGTGTTGGATTCAGCACTCTCGAGGGCGTAAAGTCCGAGTGCTGCTCCGCTTGGGGATACTGCGGTTCCTCCGAGGACCACTGCGGTGCTGGTTGCAACCCAATCTACGGCAACTGCCCTTCGGTCTCTTCTTCGTCTGTTTCCTCTTCCATCGCTGTTTCCAGCGCTAGCGAGAAGTCCGAGTCCACATCTTCTACCGTTGCTACGCCCACATCTGAGGTCATTTCTTCATCTGTTTCTGCTTCCGCCTCCGCTTCGGCTTCTGAGTCCGTTTCTGCATCAGTCTCTGAGCATGTTTCCGCGTCTGCTTCGGCTTCTGCCTCGGCTTCTGCCTCTGTTTCTGAGCACATCTCTGCTTCTGCTTCCGCTTCCGCTTCCGCTTCAGTCTCTGACTACGCCTCGGTGTCCGTCTCCGTCTCCGAGCACGTCTCCGCATCGGCTTCAACCCCCGCGTCTGAGAAGCCAGAGGAGCACGAGTCCACCTCCGTCTCCGTCTCTGTCTCTGCTTCCGCCACAGACTCTGCTTCCAAGGACAGCTACCCTACCAGCTCTGTCGTCCCAGCCTCCGAGTACCCAGCCTCCACTCCTGGAAACTCCGAGACCGTCCCATCAAGCAGCTCAGTCGCCGTCTCGGCCTCTTCCGAGTACCCCGTCTCAAGTTCCGCTTCCTCTGCCTACCCCGTCTCCACCATGACACCCACCCCCGTTTACCCCTCATCTTCCTTCTCAACCGCCATTGTCCGCCCTAGCTCTACTTCCTGCTCCACAACCGCCACTCCCACGCCTACCAAGCTCCCCGTTTCTTCAAACGGAAAGTGTGGTGAAGCCAACGGTGGCCAGACATGCGCTGGCTACAAGACGCTTTTCGGTGTTGAGATGGGATGCTGCTGCAAGCAGAGTGGACGTTGCTCCATTGACCCCTGGGCGTGTGGTCTTGGATGTGACAAGGGATACGGAAAGTGCTGGTTCTAGATGATGAGCGAGGTATCTGTTTATGGACTTTCTTCATGTTCTGGTTATATCCTTAGGGTGGTGGTTTGTTGTAGTCTGCTTATGTAACATGTAGAATAGCAATACATGATGATGAAGACCTAGTGGGTGTTGTGCTGGAAATTCTTTTGATCATGGTATCGTGTCCGGTGAAAGTGACATAGTGAGAAACTCAAGCTCATTACAAAGGAATGCTACGAAGTGTTTCTCAAGAAAGTGCCACAATTTAGGCAGCGGTGGGACTATGAAACCCCTCTGGAAACGGTCATGTTCGAGAACCAACGTTACAAGTACGGCTGGATGTCCGAGGTCCCGGATTACGGCTCTGCCTATGATTCAGATTGAGTGGCATGACGAATCAGTATCCTCTAGATTCTGGATTTCTAGGTGTACGTAGAGAGGATCGAAAACAAAACGAAGTTGGAAAAGACATGTACGACAGTCTCATCTTTTTGGGCGGTAGTCACATGCGCATTACTTCCCAGCTTTGTGTCTTGGCCTTGTACTTCTAGGATAATCATATA